GATTTCTATTGTCATCTTCCTTGTATTTCAGGAATGGACTACATCAAGGACCACCTGGAAGAACCCTTGCTGCAGCTAGGTGATGGCACCAGTTCAGATGCACAAGCACAAGAAAGCTCCAAACAGGTGGACGGATACCTGGTCTGTTCAGCTGATCATATGGAGTTGCTCAAGTCCTTCCCAGCAGTCTGTAAGCTGTCTCTGAGGCTAAACACACCCTTACCTGCATCAGCTGCATGTGAAAGGCTGTTCAGCATTGCATGACTTGTTTTCAGCCCCAGGAGAGCAAGGCAGGATTCCAGAAACTTTGAAAACCAGCTTTTACTGAAGATCAACTGTCAATTCTTCAACTTCAAGTAATGACAGCTTAATGCTAGCAAGCCCAAGGACACGGATGCCTTATGCGTTTTGTTCATTTATGTTTATAGGTGTCCTTGTTACAAAGGCATGACACACTGATTTCTAATACAGTTCTATCAGTGGTGATGTCCTCATATTCCTACAGTGAGGTTGTGTGCAGTTCAGTACATGTACTTTTGATAAGCTCATCTTTTTTTTTTTTTTTATGTATAGGGTTCTATTATAGGATGTTTTTTCTAAAGCAAAGTAAGTGCTTACGTTTACTGGCTATATTCTTTAATTATTAAGGCATAATTATACACTGCTCAAAAAAATAAAAGGGAACACTTAAACAACACATCCTAGATCTGAATGAATGAAATAATCTTATTAAATACTTTTTTCTTTACATAGTTGAATGTGCTGACAACAAAATCACACAAAAATTATCAATGGAAATCATGGAGGTCTGGATTTGGAGTCACCCTCAAAATTAAAGTGGAAAACCATACTACAGGCTGATCCAACTTTGATGTAATGTCCTTAAAACAAGTCAAAATGAGGCTCAGTAGTGTGTGTGGCCTCCACGTGCCTGTATGACCTCCCTACAACGCCTGGGCATGCTCCTGATGTGGCGGATGGTCTCCTGAGGGATCTCCTCCCAGACCTGGACTAAAGCATCCGCCAACTCCTAGACAGTCTGTGGTGCAACGTGGCGTTGGTGGATGGAGCGAGACATGATGTCCCAGATGTGCTCAATTGGATTCAGGTCTGGGGAACGGGCGGACCAGTCCATAGCATCAATGCCTTTCTCTTGCAGGAACTGCTGACACACTCCAGCCACATGAGGTCTAGCATTGTCTTGCATTATGAGGAACCCAGGGCCAACTGCACCAGCATATGGTCTCACAAGGGGTCTGAGGATCTCATCTCGGTACCTAATGGCAGTCAGGCTACCTCTGGCGAGCACAAGGAGGGCTGTGCGGCCCCCCCAAAGAAATGCCACCCCACACCATGACTGACCCACCGCCAAACCGGTCATGCTGGAGGATGTTGCAGGCAGCAGAACGTTCTCCATGGCGTCTCCAGACTCTGTCACGTCTGTCACATGTGCTCAGTGTGAACCTGCTTTCATCTGTGAAGAGCACAGGGCGCCAGTGGCGAATTTGCCAATCTTGGTGTTCTCTGGCAAATGCCAAACGTCCTGTGCGGTGTTGGGCTGTAAGCACAACCCCCACCTGTGGACGTTGGGCCCTCATGGAGTCTGTTTCTGACCGTTTGAGCAGACACGCACATTTGTGGCCTGCTGGAGGTCATTTTGCAGGGCTCTGGCAGTGCTCCTCCTTGCACAAAGGCGGAGGTAGCGGTCCTGCTGCTGGGTTGTTGCCCTCCTACGGCCTCCTCCACGTCTCCTGATGTACTGGCCTGTCTCCTGGTAGCGCCTCCATGCTCTGGACACTACGCTGACAGACACAGCAAACCTTCTTGCCACAGCTCGCATTGATGTGCCATCCTGGACAAGCTGCACTACCTGAGCCACTTGTGTGGGTTGTAGACTCCGTCTCATGCTACCACTAGAGTGAAAGCACCGCCAGCATTCAAAAGTGACCAAAACAGCCAGGAAGCATAGGAACTGAGAAGTGGTCTGTGGTCACCACCTGCAGAACCACTTCTTTATTGGGGGTGTCTTGCTAATTGCCTATAATTTCCAGCTGTTGTCTATTCCATTTGCACAACAGCATGTGACATTTATTGTCAATCAATGTTGCTTCCTAAGTGGACAGTTTGATTTCACAGAAGTGTGATTGACTTGGAGTTACATTGTGTTTAAGTGTTCCCTTTATTTTTTTTAGCAGTGTATTTTGTCTGTAAGAGATGTATTGCCTATTTGAGAATCCACATTATTTTTATCAGAGCTCTTGTATCCATAAGACTGTTACCTTTCAGAAAAGCTCAAAACAATGAAAAGGTCTGGCTGTTTTGCTTTTTGGATTCACGTTTCATACTTTTGATACTTAAGTACATTTACCTTATGGCTATTTAATATCAGTTACTTTAAGACTTTTACTCAAGTAGTATTCTAATGGATGACTTTCACTTGAGTCATTTTCCAGTAAGGTATCATTACTTTTACTCAAGTATGGCTTTTGGGTACTTTTTCCACCACTGCTTAATATAAGGAATTTGATGGATAACTTTTACTTTTTCTCAAGTATGATTAAGTACTTTTTCCACCACTGTACTTAAGTACATTTTAAAAACAGATGCTTTTAGACTTTTACTCAAGTAGTATTTTACTTGGTGACTTTTACTTGAGTAATTTTCTATAAAGGTATTTTTACTTTTACTCAAGTATGACAATTTGGTACTTTTTTCCACCACTGAATGTTGCCCTCTGATCGGAGTAATTGTTTGACATTGTAATGTGCGATTTTTTGTACTTGTCCATTTAGACAACTTAAATCTATATTCTTCTTGTCTGATGGACAAGAGGACAAAGCTTTAATGTCGAGCCCTGTGGGGATTTGTGTAACTGCCAACTGCTACAAATACTTGATGCAAAAATATTGACATAATCCATGGCTAATCTGTAAAATACCACACCAGGATTTTGCTATGACACCTCACCTTTGACCTCACCCTTTGCAGCCACAACAGCTGGGCCAAAAGGGATTTGAAAGACTGACATATCTACATTAACCATCATCACCAACCTATACTAAAATATAATAATTGTTACTACTATAGTTCTGCTGACAAAAGGCAAAACAAGAACCGTTTGAGCCATCTTTTCTGTGACAGGAGATTGAAAAACGCACAGCAGCTACGTGTTGCTATGACACATGGCAGTGAGAGCTGGCAAGGGTGTGATCAAAATAAGAGACAAAACAACATTATGCAATAGCTAGCTCACACGAGATGAAACCCGATAATGTAGCTACAGATTAGCGATTGCGATAGAAGAATCGATGCAATCAGAATTGTTTCTTGCTGATATAGTAAGGAGCATAACGTTAGGGTTTGTAGCTACAGTTTGTTGGGTGTCTTGTAACCACTGCTGTGTCCTTGTCTTTATACATCGTCCATTCCATGGTCCTAGCACAACCATAATCCCTTGCTAATCTCCACATGGATAATTACTTTACATTTTTACATCCTGTCTTTTCCCCATGCAAGAATAATCTAACGTTAGCTAGCTACATCTGCAGTGCTAGGTAGCAAGCTACAGTAACGTCAACTAGTAACGTCGACATTGCCATTACGTTTGCTCGAGATATGCAGATGTAGCTATCTAAATTAACCCAGGCACTGGCCAAAAAAGTTAGCTAACTAAACTAGCTGTCAATCAATGTTGTCAAGAACGTTTGGGGAGCGGCAATTGTACCGTTAGCTGGCTATTAGCCAACTAGCTAATAATATGAACGCTTATCTATTGTAACTTTTTTGGTTAGTAATGAGAAGCAGGTGGCTAGTGGATATCAACTGATACTTCAAAATGTGTTTCAACTGCGAAAGTCGACGGGCTGCTCCGCTGTCACAAACGCTAATTTAGCCAACGTTGCGCTGATACTGGCTGTCAGAATTAGTTAGCCATTAATTTTCACTCGAATAATGATACCTGAAACAAGCGTGCGTCCAAACGTTGAAATAATTAATTTAACCAACCCAATACTATTCAATCTGCAACCTCGTGCCAGAATATGTCGTTGCATTAGGCTGTACACTATGTCCATGGGATTCTGGACTGTCCTCGCGACCAGAGACCGCACACTTGCTCGCTAGTGGCTTGTTTGATAGCTCAGTAGCTAGCCAAAACCGACTAGCGTAGCTTGAAAATCAGATCCCGTGGCTCAGGTCAGGGTGACTTTACGACGTATCTTACCTTGTGCAAATTGGAAGAGGTATATTTCGCTGTAGCATAGAGGCATCCACTTTTTATGTCAAGATTGCCAGACAATGTGTCAATGTATCCGCCCCTCCTAAAACTGCTATCTACTATCGTATCAGTACCATTAGCCACAGTAGACAAGAGACGTCTGATTGGTTGAAGCCCTCGTCTCAGAAGCAATGAACAGCGTCGTCATATCCGTACACATTATTTGGCACTTGTGAAATTCAAATTCAAATAAACTGTCTTGGTTTTTCTACCTACTGTAATTCTGTGTTCTATTAAATATATAAAATTGTAACCAACTATGATTGATTGAGCCAGGTTTGTTGAATGGTCGGTCTCATGTTGGACCACCACTACTACAGTGCTGCCATCTAGTGTTTGAAGACAACTGGGTAGAACCACATTCACATGAGAATAGCTTCATTTTAAGCGGTTAATGGAATAAACCCATCTACAAAACCATTCTGAGAAAGTGTTGACATTTTATATTATTTATAAAGCACCTAAATAGTCAAACAATCAGCTTAACAATTCCCTTGCATAAAAATGATGTTCTGCAATGGTTCCACCTTCTGATGAGCAGCATGTATTCCTTTCCCCATACAATAAACACCACAGATGACTCCAGTCAACAGAGATACAGAAATAAAGTATTCTATGAACTACATATCGATATCAGTTCTATGAAACATCTTTCCCAAAAATTGTATTCAGAGTGATGAAACAATACATGTAACAGTCAAAACAGTAATTGTTGTTAACTGATAATACGAATTCATTCTGGGAGAGGTGGAGAAATACCAGGGTTCAAGAGGAGTACACACCAAACGTGACTGTGTAGAGTCTGTTGGAGCAGTTTGATTATTGTGAGCACTAGTGGCTCCACCTCACTCTTATCGATTCCGCAAATTGGTCCTGTTGGTTTTGCGGTCCAAACAGTGGCGTGTCCACTATATACACCTCATCTACCCATCACTGTGGCCAGGAGGGCCATGCGGATGTACATGCCGTTCTCAGCCTGTCGGAAGTAGGCAGCACGAGGATCAGTGTCCACCTCCGCACTGCAAGAAAGAAAGTCAACATGACACAGTCATCCCACTTAAGTCATTAATTAGAATTTGCCACACGACTGCAAACATTAGTGAATCAAAGGAGATATAATTAAAAGAGATGCATTCTAATCTAGGGGAACATCCATACCTGATCTCATTGACTCTCGGTAGAGGATGCATCACCACCATCTTCCTCTTGGCTCCAGTCATGATGTGTGGGGTGAGGATAAACTGACCGAAGCACTGTAGGAAAAAAAACACAAGGGTCCTTTAGCACTGATCAAACGCTAAGGCTAGCCTCACATCAGGTGAGTCAATCCCCCATTCCATCCCATCCTTACCGCTTTGTACTCTTCCTCTGAGGCAAACCTCTCCTTCTGGATCCTGGTAATGTAGAGCACGTCAGTGTCAGGCAGTGCCTCCTCGATGCTCTCAAACTCTTCCTGCACAGCCACAAGGACATAGTTTAGTGCTTTATGTAGTGCATACAATATGAAAAGGACACCTACATACTAGCAGTCCGTGCCATTGAGATTTAGATTCAGAGCCATCTGCTCTACCACAAATGGCCCTTGTGATCCCCCCACCTGCTTGATGCCTTTGGAGGCCACAAAGTCGATGATCTCGGAGGGCATGTGTAGGTTCTTTGGGGCGACGTAGCGCAGTGTGATCCTGTACTGGGTGAGCAGCCTGGCCAGGGAATGCACTGTGCGGCCGTGTTTCAGGTCCCCTACCATAGTGATCTACAGAGATAGACCAGTCAGGACATGTTAACTTACAAGGCAGGGCGCCATCACCAAGGAGCGCTGATTAGAAATGAAAATACCCAGTCAAGTTCCAGATCTTACAGTTCCATTTCATATAAAACACTGTCAGAACATAAAGACAATAAAAGGGGAGATGTGTGTGAGGGCTCGTCTCACCGTCATGCCGTTGACCGTGCCCAGCTCCTCTCTGATGGTGAACACATCCAGCAGGGCCTGAGTGGGGTGCTCCCCGACCCCATCCCCAGCGTTGATCACTGGCTTCCGGCAATGCCTCGCTGCAGACTACAGGTGGCGATAAATGTGTCAGATACAGCAAGTGCAGCTTCTCACAAAATAACTGATACAAGGGATGCGCTCAGTGTTTAGGTGGTACCCGCCTCTGTTTCAAAGTGTTTTCTCAGAATAGCTTGCCTAATGACCATGACAGGGCACGTTTTCAAGTGAAGTTGTAACACGGCGTATCGACACGCCTGCTCACCTCTACGGCCCCTGGCATGGGGTGTCGCAGCACCAGGACGTCAGCATAGCAGCTCATGGTCTGGACCGAGTCGGCCAGAGACTCGCCCTTCTGCGACGAGGAGGTGGCCTCGCAGAAATGGACCACAGAGCCGCCCAGACGCTGCATGGCCGCCGCAAACGAGCTGCTGGTGCGCGTGCTGACCTCGTAGAACATGGACGCCATCACCTTACCCTGAGAGAGCAACACACAGAGGGGTCTAAGACAAATAATACAGACTAGTATACAACATTTCTCTGAGCTCAGCATTCCGGCCAACAGGCATTGGGGCATTTCAGGGCACCCAGCATTTCCATATTCTTATAACAGAGATTTACTGATCGAGTGGCAAAACTAGTTCTATGAGATCTTTAGGCATAGACGCACACAAGTGGCAGGTGCTGCTTGTATTGTCGTCTGGATTTAATGATGTCAAGTACCATGTGATTTGTCATTTCCGATGGGACTGGTAGAAGTTGTTTTGTTGTTATTTTTAACAGCACACCTGCTCCTATGTGTTTAAGCTGAAGGACGATGGCTCATCTCACTCCAGGGACGATGGAACCAAGAGATAAAGCAGAGACTAGTCATGCTACCTCCTGAGGTCCTGCTGATGACTCAAACCCTGGGTGACACTCAAGTGGGCTTTATGGAACAGCCCAACTGGCTACTCTGAAATGAGTTTCTCTCCTGCAATGTTTACTGTGACAAATTACAGCTTGTCTGAGTATTACTAGGGATGTGCATCTTTCCGTTTCAAGACGATTCGATCCGCATCTAGATACACGGGCTCCGATACATTTTTGTTTGAAACGAGTTGGCGCAATTCGGATTTATTAGAGAACAAATCGATGCACTAACATTTGTTGCATAAACACACATTTTCCATACTAAAATCTGCTGCTGATGGAGCTTGTGTGTGTAAATGACATATGTCTATGGTGTATGTACTATGTAGGCACCTGATCTGAGCCATAAGGGAGACTAGGCATCTACCACGCCACTACCAGATAAGGGGGGGCAATGTAGCCTGTTTTTGTCCCCTGTCCCCCCCCCCGTCACCCAATAATTAACTTGTCATTTTTGCAGACTAAGTGTTTGAGCTACTAATGTACCAATAGTTATTGTTTACAAATTAGCTTTGACATAGCCAATGAGTGTACAAAACATATAGGAACACCTGTACTTTCCATGAGACTGACCAGGTGAAAGCTATGATCCTTTATTGATGTCACTTGTTAAAATCAGTGTAGATGAAGGGGAGGAGACAAGTTAAAGAATGATTTTTATGTATGTGTGCCATTCAGCGGGTGAATGGTCAAGACAAAAAATGTAAGTGCCTTTGAACAGGGTATGGTAGTATGTGCCAGGCGCACCGGTTTGAGTGGGTCAAGAATCACAACGCTATTGGGTTTTTCACGCTCAACAGTTTCCCGTGTGTATCAAGAATGGTCCACCACCCAAAGGACATCCAGCCAACCTGACAACTGTGGGAAGCATTGGAGTCAACATGGGCCAGCATCCATGTGGAACGCTTTCGGCACCTAGTTGAGTCCATGCACCGACAAATTGAGGCTGTTCTGAGGGCAAAAAGGGTGTGCAACTCAATATTAGGAAGGTGTTTTTAATGTTTTGTACACTCTGTGTATAGCACAACTTTGGCATTCATCCCAAACTCAAAATCAAATGGTTTTGACCACTTGGAAGTTATTAATGAGATTCCTTTCCCCTCCCGCTTTGGCCATGCAGTGCACCTCGCAGTGATTGTCTGTCCTTGTCATGAAATTATCAACTTTACACTGCATGTCTAAAAATGACCATATACACCAATTGTTTAAAGCAAAACTACTATTGCCAATGATGAACCTGAAAATCTAAATAAAATCTATTGTAAGCCCCATTCAGCAGGTAGCCTACAGCCAGATGAGTAGTCTCCGGTAGCCTACTTTTATTCCGGTAAAACCCAATTTCCAACAGTGCATAGATAACAATAACCTAGCAAATTACATAAGATGTCACTCAACTAATAAAGCCTAATATCCCACAAGCCATTCTAGCATTCGAATGCTGAAGGTGCCGCACACGTGAAAGATCAGTAACAGGCCGCCTACCTCACGTTAGTCAGCGTGCAAAGCTAGGCACAGTTTGACTAAGCTACTGATATTCCCTGGGGTAGTTTGGCATTCAAAAGGACTTGTAGATCAATGACTGTCAACAGTTAGTGCCTTCAGAAAGTATTCATACCCCTTGACTTATTCCACTTGTTGTGCGTTACAGCCTGAATTCAAAATGGATTAAACAAAAAATTCTCTCACCCATCTACACACAATATCCCATAATGACAGTGAAAACAATCCATAACCCAGGTACCTTTAACTGGTGACTATCTGAGAGAATAAAGAAAAAGAAGCAGTGTTCTAAAGCAGTAAATCCGATGTATTTATTTATGGTACAAGCAAACAATAGGCTTACGTTTCAGGATGAATCGCCTTCAAGGTTCTGATTTTCTAGCCTTCAAGGTTCTGATTTCCTCTTTTTCGTTTAAGCTAGGATGAAGCGCATCTCGTATACGTTCTTTCGACAGTGAAAACATGTTTATATGTTAGCTAATTTATTGAAAATGAAACACAGAAATCTCATTTACATAAGTATTCACACCCCTGAGTCAATACTTTGTAGAAGCACCTTTGGCAGCAATTACAGCTGTGAGTCTTTCTGGGTAAGTCTGTAAGAGCTTTCCACACCTGGATTGTGCAACATTTGCCCATTATTCTTTTCAAAATTCTTCAAGCTCTGTCAAATTGGTTGTTGATCATTGCTAGACAACCATTTGCATGCCTTGCCATTGATTTTCAAGTAGATTCCAGTCAAAACTGTAACTCAGCCACTCAGGAACATTCACTGTCTTCTTTGTATGCAACTCCAGTGTAGATTTGGCCTTGTGTTTTAGGTTATTGTCTTGCTGAAAGGTGACTTCATCTCCCAGTGTCTGGTTGAAAGCAGACTGAACCAGGTTTTCCTCTAGGATTTTGCTTGGGCTTATCTCCATTCTGTTTCTTTATCCTGAAAAACTCCCCAGTCCTTCACGATTACAAGCATACCCATAACATGATGCAGCCACCACTATGCTTGAAAATATGGAGAGTGGTACTCAGTAATGTGTCGTATTGGATTTGCCCCAAACATAACACTTTGTATTCCAGGCAAAAAGTTGATTGCTTTGCCACAATTTTTTGCAGTATTACTTTAGTGCCTTGTTGCAAATAGGATGCATGTTTGGAATATTTTTATTCTGTACAGGCTTCCTTTTCATTCTGTCAATTAGGTTAGTGTTGTGGAGTAACTACAATGTTGTTGATCCATCCTCAGTTCTCTCCTATTACAGCCAATAAACTATTGGCCTCATGGTGAAATCCCTGAGCGGTTTCCTTCCTCTCCGACAACTGAGTTAGGAAGGACGCCTGTATCTTTGTAGTGACTGTGTATGTGTGTATATTGATACACCATCCAAAGTGTAATTAATGACATCACCATGCTCAAAGGGATATTCAACGTCTGCTTTTTAAATGTGTACCCATCTACCAATAGGTACCGTTCTTTGCGAGGCATTGGAAAACCTCCCTTGTCTTTATGTTTGAAAATCACTGCTCGACCAAGGGACCTTACAGATAATTGCATGTGTGGGGTACAGAGAGGAGGTAGTCATTCAAAAATCACTTATTGCACACAGAGTGAGTCCACGCAACTTATTATGTGACTTGTTAAGCACATTTTTACTCCTGAACTTAGTCTTGCCATAACAAAGGGGTTGAATCCTTATTGAAAAGCTGAAATGTGTTGAGTCATTTTTAAATACATTTGTAAACATTTCAAAAACGACATTCCACTTTGGGGTATTGTGTGTAGGCCAGTGACAAAAATATCAAATGAACCCATTTTAAATTCAGTGTAAAACATGGTGGTTGTGGATGTTGTTTCAAAGCCTAACAACGAAATGGATAGTGCTTTCTAAGGTGATGATTAATTCAAAACACCCATATATATGCATATTAGAGCTTTTGCATAGGCTTATGAGCCCAAGCCCCCCCCCCCCCCCTAAAAAAAACTGAATTAAAATTACACGATTGTGAATGTTATACAATACATAGCCTACCACATATTAGGCATGGCAGAAAAACATAAAACTGATTTAAGAGGTCTTTGGTACATAATTGGTCTAGCCTATACTCCAAAATTAAACAAATTCGAGTAATCGCCTTTGAGTGCGGACTGTATTATTACGCATACTGGATGGACCGGTTACCTTATGCTACGCCCCAAAATGTATATCAATGAGTCTGGGAGAGAACGTATAGCCCTAGGCGATGCTGTTGGTTCATTGATTGTGCAGGGCGGCTTACAGTTAGCCTACAATTAGTGAATTTGTATTTTATTTTGAATAGCCTAGTAAAAATGGGGCATTTTTTATATTTTCATAATTAAATTGGGTGACATTACTTTTAGCATTTCCATCTCCTCCTCGCACTCCTTTATTCCTTTCTCGAGCATGCAGATGGGCTGTCAACAGTTTAGTGAAATATGTTTTGTTGTGAAAACATGTTACCGGTACTATCGATGTTCCCGAACCGATTTCACCTAGTTTCCCAAATTAAGCACTGGGTAGCTGCAGGAAAAAGGTTGGAGAGCCCATGGCATACAGAGTTTGGGCGGAATATCACCTGTCGGGGCAGCGAGAGCATGTTTCTCCAACAGTGGTTGATGCGTTGAGTGAAATAAGTGTTCTTATATTTATTTCTCAGCAGCTCATATTAAGCACATGCTATAAAACCAATGTAACCTACAAAACGGACCGGTGGGAAAGTGCAGCCTCCATTCGAGTGCATACAGATTACATGTATTTTTCCCCCTGCCCCTCCCCATTTGATAAATGGGCCATTCTAAATCGAAACAAATTTGTCATATTAGTAAAGACAAGATTAAATTGAGAATAGTCTGATGGGTGAAAATATGATTGATGATAGAACAGCTGTGCAGCCTAAGGCAAGGAACAGAGAGCAAGCTTTTTTTGCTACTTTCTCAAAATCAATAGCCTGTAGTCATACCATGCAGCCTGTATAGGTTTTGATTTCTAAGACATTTTAAGGTTTGTATCATTCACAACTGAAGTTGCCAAAAAACTAAATCTAGCATATAGGACCTGTTTCAAATGATCACTTTTACGCTCAACATAGCCACTTCAAATGTGCAGTCGCTCTATAATGGGAAAAATATCCTTTATTTTATTCAGCTAAGTGAAATTATATTCTTCTTACTATAAAATAATGGCACAGGATTTATTAGCATATCTTGTCAGCTAAATGAACAAGCCTACAGCCTTTGGCATGGAGCATAGCCAGATAACATAGGCCTACAGTAGGCCAACTCATGAAATGAACAAAATGCATTTCAGTAGAACAGAATATGTTTCTTTAGACCTGACTAACGTAAATAATGGATTTATTGTGATGGTATATATTAAAATTGAATGAGACTTTTTTTAATGTAGATGTTCCAAAGGCGCGCATCAGCGGCTTGTATGCGTGGAAGCCTGGAGATGCTAAACCTGTTTATGTTAATTAATGGAAGACTTTTGCATGATATTAACCGGCTGACAAAATTTCATGACCGTCACAGCCCTAAATATGAGCAAAACAAATTTGTGAATCAGGGATTCTGAACGTTTGAATCGATTTTCTGACCGATGCATGCTACTTTTGGATTGGTTTGGGGTCAGCAGACCAATGCAGTCTTTTTTTTTTTAAACATTTGAAATCGGGGACCGACGCGTATCAGTAAAATCGGTACATCGCTAAGTGTTACTGAACTGTTGTTCTTTAGATTAATCAGAGTTTGAAAGAACTCTTACCTTCAGGATGTCTAGGCTTCTCTCTTTCTGAACCATCAGGCGAAGAGTATGGGCCACGTTAAACAAGTGAGAGATCTGAAATAGATTCACAAGAAAAGAAAAAAAGGGTTTTGATTTGATTTATTAGGATCCCCATTAGCCGACACCAATGGCGACAGCTAGTCTTATTGGGGTCCGACATAACGAAAAACACAGACAAAATACTTTACAATTTACATACATTTATGAAAATTGATATGAAAATTAATTAACAGCACATATGTTCTTCAGTAAATCCTTCCCATTTATGTGGAGTACCTGTTCCTTGCTGAACTGCCTGACAGAGAGGACGTGTTGTCCCACTAGGGGGTGCAGTAGGGGGGAGGTCTGGAGGTGGGTCAGGGTCTGGGGCTGACCTGCCACTACCCCCAACCCTGCCTCAGCCCAGGGGGACAGGATCCTGGCCAGTGGAGGGGGATGGCTGTAGCCGTCCCCAGCTGAATGGGCCATCTCTGGGGACAGAGAAACAGCAAACACTTCAAATACCAAAGGAGAAATGTAATGTGTGTTAATATTCATTAGTTCAGCAGCATCTCCAAAAAGGATTGCAGTCGTTTTTATTTCCTGAGGATGACACGCAACCAACAAAAGCACTGATTACACCATATTTCAAAGCAAGTTTGTCGCTTTTTCATTCTAAATGATCCAAGCGTTAGGAAAGCAGTCTGCTCCAAGCAAAGCGACATGGGTAGTGCAGCATCTAACGGGCAGGAATGTAATTCCAACATTTCTCTAGCAGCTCTACAACCAATCATGCAATACAAGTGTTCACCAAAGCAACTACCAGTATAACTCCATTGGAATGCATTGCCAGAATTACGCGAAACAGCCTCAAAGATAGCAGATATGGGCAAGAGGTTAGTATTATGCGTAACAGCTGAGCTGCGCTAAATCAAGCTTCAAACCTTCTCTTAAACCTTCTTCAAATGCTCTTCCCCTTGAATCTTCAGCTGCTTAGAATATCATGACAAAAAGTTAGAACACAAGTGTTAGAGGGATGACACAAAACTATGGTAATTTAGACAATACTATAGGAATTAGCCAGTATACTGATATGAAACGCTAATATCATTTGGGTTATTAATACGTTTGCGATTGTGGCATTGAGCATCATTTCATCCAGCCATTGTTTCTTACAAAAGACAGTGACATGAATCTTTAAAAAATGTGAGAATCAAACGTTAATCAACAACTGCCATCATTAATTTCAAACTGAAATCATCCGATAGTGGCTGTGATTGAACAGTCTTATTAATGGGTGAAGGAGCATAGCAAATGGCCGACCAAACGGTCTTCAGCATCAGAGCTATACGTTGAGCCATATATTTAGACCTCATTTAATCAGCAAATGTACTTCTCCTCTTACGAGCCAATCAATCAGTCATGATGACCATGCTGCCTACAGTAGAGACTCATTAAATGATTTGCTTTATCAGAAAACACTTTATATATGGTGCGCTTAAATCACATGATCAGTGGGTTCATAGATACAGACTAAAAAAAGGTTTACCAACGAAATCCAAGCGCCATTTTGTGTGTATTGTCCTAAAACCTATAGATGGACACAGTGAATATCCAATTTATTGAAATAGATATTCACAAAGCATTTTGCCACAACAAGTAAGCGCTCAGCTGTGTAATACAAAACATCCAGGCAACTTCAGTTAAGTGACAAACAGGCTCTGGGGGGAAAGAAGGGGTTGTGGGAGCTGTAGTACCTGGAGGCACGCCTGGGTCGGAGGACCTGTGGACACGGGGCGGGAGCATGTAGCGGCCATCCCCAGCAGAGCGGCGAGGGCTCGGGGCGCGGGTACGGATGCCCTCACATGGCGGGATCAGCCGGGGGTGCTCTGGGGTCTGCCACACACAGACACACAAGAGCAAATGCCGGTCACGGCCAATGCCTGCTAGTATGCTACATCACATAACTGTTGGTTGAATCGAAGCACACTTATGTGAAAGGGCGGAGCGGAAATGGGTGGGACTGTACCTGTGGGACTTCTTTCACAGGTTCAGGGGGCTGGATGGGGATGGGTGCAGGCCAAGTCTTCACATCCTCCCCATAGCCAGGAGGGACTAGCACCTGTCCGTCGATGTAGGCCAACTCTCCTCTGAGCACCACTCTGCGGACCTTGCCCTTCACCTTCATGCCTTCGAAGGGCGTCCACTTGGACTTTGTGAACTGCATGTGTTTGGGGATGACCCACTCCTGCTCCAGGTCTACCTGGTGGGAGACAGCAGGTCTTTAGACCTCAAAAATTGTCTTGAAAAGCCAAGACATTTAGTCTCTTTTCAATCACTCTTTGTATTTCAATGTGGTAACCCAAGGGGAATAAATCCATGCCATGTTGCCCATTTTACATGCTAAAAGATTTATTTGTGTGTCTGTAGCTACCTCTACATAGGTGTTGTCCTGTGTGGGCAGGGAGAAGATCTTGCGGGGGTTGTCGTACAGGCGCTTGATAATATCGTCGATGGTGAGGCGCCCGTCGCTGACGGCGGTGAGGAGGAGGGGCAGCATGGTCTCCAGGCCGGGGTAGCCTGGGGGGGGCTTCTCTGAGTTCTTCTCCTCCACTGAATGGGGGGCTGTTAGCCAAAACATACAGAAATATTATCAAGAATGTTGTATGCCAACATGGTTACAAGTTGAGTATTGAATGATAAACTGATACAGTATGTGGAAGGTTGGGGTTAATGGAGCCCTCACCGTGGTCGGTTGCGAAGCAGTCAATGATGTCCAAATGTTCCCAGAGGGCCTCCATGTCCTCCCGGGTTCCCAGCATGGGGCGTACCTGTGCCCGGGCGTCACCGATGTGCGCCACGTCCTCCTCACACAGGAAGAGGTGGTGGGGCGCCACTTCACACGTCACCTGGATGCCTTTCTGCTTGGCTGCGCGGATGATCAGGATCTGGGGGAAGGGAAGGATGGAAGAGATGCCAACCATTACTCAGCAAATTCATGACATACTATCTTGTGTGTGTTCTGGTCTGTTTCTGGCTTATAATTAATCATTTCAATGGCACAAAGCACATTTGTAGGCAAAGTCTTATCTTAGAACATAAGAGCAGCGCTTTATCCTTTTTCTTCTAACTAGCTACAGCCGTGTGTTCTTGCAGTTTATCTTAAATGAAAGGAATCAGTGATGACTCCTTCCAAAAAAGACAACTACAAGGTTCCTGTATGCCTTGGTTGACACCTCATTCACTCTGGAGACAATGAACGGGCAACACAAAGCCAAAGCAGTGCTCCATCTGTATGCATGTGATGTTCCAGGCGGCCATCTTACCTCCTCCTTCTTGGCCACGTGGCAGATATGAACAGCTCTCTGGTACAGCTGGGCCACCATCAAGATGGCTGCCACTGTCTGCTTCTCTGCGTGAGCCACGATTGGTAGGTGCTTGGGCCACTTCTCAAAGTGCTAGTTCACACAAAGAGAAAGCATTCAGATCAACAGAAACACTTGTGAATGATATCAATCAAGGACATCATTCAGTCAGTTGATAAGTTTCCTACCTCCATCCAAAGTGAGACGTTGTCCATCTTCAGAGTGGAGTAGGTGTCGTTCAGATACATCTTCAGCCCAGCGACGGAGTTGGCAATGGAGGACAAGATGGCAGCATTGTCTGAAGCCGCCCCGACGTAGAGGGCATAGTCACAGCGACACCCTGCCTTGGCAAGCTGAGACAACAGGGACAAAAAATTAGATCAACAGTGAGTGAGTAAACCTTTAAGTACTGCATTGGTCCATTTTAAAAACAGGCATCATTTCATGTCTGAAACCAATTTATTTGTAATATTCAGTGGCGAATGTCTTAAATGACCAAGTATGCTCTCATTACCTTCTGGACCATGGTGAGGGAGCTGGGGTCGATGATGGCGGGTGCCGTGTTGGGCATGGCACACACCATGGTGATGCCCCCTGCCAGGGCAGCCGCTGTGCCCGAGGAGAAGTCTTCCTTGTGAGTGGCACCCGGCTCCCGAAGGTGGACGTGCACATCTATCAGACCTGGCACAGGACACAGGGAGAGGGGACTCAATTAGTACTGTTCAGAAACAATGTAGTTCCACAGGTTGACTGAAGGTGCCATCATGTATTCCCTGAATACAGGAAGAAAGCAGGGGGATTGATATTTTAAGTTTTAACAGCCTTCACTTTTTAGTCACAGCCCAAGCCTACGGCGCTTACTGCTTACCAGGCAGGCGAATCAACTTCTGTGATGTCATACAGTCCACGTGAGTCTTGACGGGCGGAAAACCTCCAACCAGACGCAACGCCTACAATCACAGCAGCACACACTTCAATCAGGATATTCAGCAGTCAATCATCGCTAGCTCAAAAATCAGTGGCTGACATCCCATCACAGCCCCCTAACTAACCTACCTGGAAAAAGAGCTTGGTGCACTTGATGTCAATGATGAGGGGGACTGAGTAGTCGATGGCCATGCGGCGGGTGCGGTAACCCTTGGTGACGAAGGAGGAGAGGCGTCGGCCTCCAGAGTTCCTCATGGAGAGGTTGATGACCATGTCAAAGTGGTGGTCCTCCAGGTATTCCAAGATGTTCCTCTGCTTGTCCTTGTTGGGGCAGTCGCTCTCCTCCTCCTCAAACGGCCAGTCCACTGCTATCACCTGAAGACAGTACGTAAAGTTTAATTCAGTCAAATTCAGGAAGTAAATTGAAAATGACGTTGTGAATTGAAAATTGCTCATCTTTCCTGGAAACCGTGTAAGGCGGAAAAAAGGTTATACTCTGTTGAGAAGTGGATACGTGCCCACTCAGACTAGATGTGATGTACCTTGACTCCATGCTCAGTGTAGAAGTCAGCGGTCCCTAGGCTGGCATACAGGTCATAGCCCAGACTCTCCAGAGCCTGAACAGTAGGCAGCAGCTCACTCTTGTTCTAGAAACAAGCAAGGAACATTTATGTAGCGCTAGCCTCAAAATGAATTTCCATGTAGATTAGCAATAGATGCATTCATATCTCATTGTAGTCACCTTATAACTGCCGATGGAAAGCAGAATGTTCTTCTTGGGGATCTTGAAGCCTGTGCTGAGCATGGCCTTCAGATAGGCCTCGTATCTGTTCTCTCCAAAGCAGGCCACCTCCCCAGTGCTGGTCATCTCTACCCCCAGAACCACATCAGCCCCGGCCAGACGAGAGAACGAGAACTGGGGGACCTGAGAGAGAGAAAGACACATTCAAACATATGGAGGTTGTTAGTGTAAGTCAAGGCTATTCAACTGGCGGCCCGCGGGCCAGATCCGGAACCTTTATCAATTTAGAATGGACCTTAGATCCATTCTGAACATTACATAAAAAATCCAATGTGTCAAAAGGAGCCCTCATTCAATATTCTCCAATGGGAGAATCTGTTTTCCTGTAGTCCCGCCCATTAAGTGCTGTCAATCACTATCACCCAACATACCAGATACAGCCGATCAGAGCGTTATTATATTACTCAGTTATGGCTATCATAAACTTCATCCGATTAACATCTAGCCTGCAACATTGCTTGTTTAGTAGTCTGCTGAGCATCATGATCTACTTTTACATCATGATGTTCGGTGGCTAAGCAAGGGTAATAGTGATCTCAAGAGAGCAGCCTATGTGAGCTTAGGGAGATCGTGGCTTTTCGCCGTGACAAGAAAGCCAACACATGTTTTATGAAGAGTTCGTATCATAGGTTTGTTTTTTTGTGACATCTTCAAATCAATTGAATGGACTTAATTTGGGACTACAGGGTTAGGGATAAAACACTTCTCTGATTTGAGGCCAAACAAAACGCTCCATTTCCCTTTACTGCGCAAATATATTCAGTCATCATCATGAGCCTACAGATGACTCCCGTGATGTCGGAGTTTTAGATAAATGGAAAGCTAACTTTGCAACAAGATTTGATGAGTTTAAGTCCCCACAGAGGTGGTGCAGTTGGTTATAGGACCTGTTCTCTACTGATGCGGGGTGGAGAGTCCGCAAAAGCTAGTCAACTAAGATATGCCATGCATAAAAGGTTTCCTATGTGTAAATAAAAACCAAAGATGAAGCTATAGTATAATAGACAGGAAAGTAGAAACTAATTAAATGTGATGCAGGTCAACTGTGTTATAAGTACAAATGTGTTCCATTATTTAAACAATTGTATGCACTGAATTAGGCTAATCTTAAAGCACTTAAAATGAACTTTTAGCAACATTAACATTTTAATAAAAGTGTTTTTTATACCAGTTTTAGGAGAAAATGTCTAGCCCCCCTGCAAATAACCTTTTTCAAATCTGGCCCCCGTAATACTATAGTTGAATATCACTGGTGTAGGTAATTAAACTAGAGTATTAAATGGTTGTTGTAGAGACTTGTCTGTTCTGTTACCTTGACGCCCACGATGCCCACTCCTTTCATCAGGCCCACAGGCTCCACCTCCTCTCCCATGATGACACGTGTTGCCAGGGAGACCAGATCCACTCCCAGCGTCTTCGAGACGAACGGGAAAGAGCGCGAGACTCGGACGTTGCACTCGATCACCTTCAACTGGTCATCCTGTCCAGAAAACACACTTGTTGCAATTAAAGGCAACAAGAGGACAGCCATTGGAAATCCAGCAGAGACTGATTATCTGTTTGACGTGTTATTGATCGTCAACCTCTGATTTGAAACTCCAAAATGTCCTTTAGAAAGACTACCTTAGCGATGAGTTGCAGGTTGAAGGGCCCGGTGACCTGCAGCTCCTGACCGATGGCGTGGACGATCATCTTGATGCGCTCCATGGTCTTCTGGTTGATGTCCTGGGCGGGCGTGACCAGGGTGGCATCCCCAGAGTGCACCCCGGCGTTCTCCACGTGCTCTGACACGGCGATGGCCATCACCACACCGTCACACGCCACCGCATCCACGTCTATCTCCTGAAAGACAGAGAGAGACTTCAGTCAGGTCCAAACTAGAGGCTCACTGGATATTTAAAAAAAGGTATAATCCACTTTCTTACAAATTCAAAATAAAGGAAAATGTAATTTATTTAAGTGAATTATCCCTTTAATGACAAAGCAGTAAGGCATTGCAATCTGTGTAGTCAAGCATTTACCGAGTCATACCTTGGCCTCCTGGATGAACTTAGAGATGACCACGGGGTATTCCTTGGACACGGCTACAGCGCTGCTCAGGTACTTCTCCAGGTCGCTGTCTGTGTACGCCACATTCATGGCTGCTCCACTCAGCACGTAGGAGGGACGCACCAGACACGGGTAGCCCACGGTCTCACAGAACTTCATAGCCGACTGGGAGGGGAGGATACAATATTACATAAAACTCACAATTTCCATCCAACTTAAGATCAAAACAATAGCATTGCTCATCAACTCATCTGCAACCAAGACCTTTAACCTCTTCATTACTGGTTTGAAATTCAAAACAGATTAGAAGCCCTGTTCTGTGCTGACCTCAATCTCTGTGAGTTCCTTCCACAGGGGCTGGCTGATGCCGATGGTGTCCAGCATGCGGGAGAACTTGAACCTGTTCTCAGCAGAGTCGATGAACTCCGGGGAGGTGCCCAGGATGCGACACTGCTGCCTGTGGAGGGACATGGCGATGTTGTTGGGCAGCTGGCCCCCCATGGACAGGATCACTCCCTCTGGGTTCTCCATCTCATAGATGTCCATCACAACCTGGAGGAAGGGAGGCGACAATGGAGCTCCATGTTCATGGGAATAGTAACATACCATGCATTAAACAGGGTTTGATGGAGAGGTGTTGAGGTCTTTTGCTTATGAGATAAAAGCATTAGATCAAGTAAGTTAGGACCTTTGAATGTTGGTGATTGCCATATATTGTATGAAGAAAAACTACAAAATAAAATGTTTGAAAGAAAGTGAGTTAGGACCATGCCATCAGTCGAGCATTCTTACCTCAAAGGAGATCTCATCGAAGTAGAGGCGGTCGCACATGTCGTAGTCTGTGCTGACAGTCTCTGGGTTATAGTTCACCATGATGGTTTTATAGCCCATCTTGGGGGGAAACACAGCAAATTAGCAAATCATGACAATATCAACATAATATTATTATTATTATTATTATTGAGAGCTCTTCTGTAAAAAGTATAAATAATCATACCTTCCTGAGTTCCATGATGCAGCCCACAGCACACCAGTCAAACTCCACACTGCTGCCAATGCGGTACACTCCGGAGCCGATCACCATTACGTGGGGTTCGCTGAAGCCCAGGTCACTCTCTGTACCGTTATAGGTCAGGTACAGGTAGTTGGTGTGGGCTGGCCACTCTGCTGCCACAGTGTCGATCTGCTTCACCACCGGCAAGATGCTCCAATCACGTCGCAGCTTCCTCACCGCCAGCTCCGTGCTGGAGAGAGATGCAGGGTCAAAGGTCCGACAAGCTCATTTAAAAAAGACATTTCAAATCAATCAAGCCCTTCTCAGACAAATGCCTCGATGTCTTCAACTGAAGGACACGCTGCTCAAGGGAACTGAACCTAGAGACACAGAATGTGACCCTGACCCAGTGACCCCAGAGATCGCCTGTGTCCCGTTCCGACTCGTCATCGTATCATCACTGAAGAGCAAGTCAAGTTTTGTCAACAGCAATCTCGATTATCTCACTCTGTATAGGTTCTATGAGATTTTTTTAATGTAACAGACTCAACTTTTAAATGTTTTGAAACACGTGTGAATAGCAGGCTACCATTCTGACAAGTAACACAGTACCAGTACCTCTGCACAGCCAGGGCGATCTGTTTGTCTGAGAAGCCCAGCTGCTTGGCTTTCCTCATCACCCCCAGAGGCATGGCGCTCTCGTCCTGGTTGTACGACTCCAGCACCTTCTCATGGTCCGCGATGTTCTTCATCTTGTGGAGGAACCAGCGGTCGATCTTGGTCAGGTCGTACAGGCGGTCCACTGTGTAGCCTGCCCTCAGAGCAGCTGCCAGCACAAAGATACGCTTGTCTGTCGGGGTCTGCAGCTCCTGTAAGACCACAGGACAGAGTCATGTCAGAACAGTTCACATAAAAGGAAGCCAAGAGAAAAAAGCCAGGTAAAAATGTGCTGACTGAGCTTACCTCGTCAGACACTGGTTTGATGGTGTGGTCAAAGCCCACACAATTCTCATCCACCATCCGCAGAGCCTTCTGGAAGGCCTCCTCAAAGCTGCGGCCAATGGCCATCACCTCACCTACAAGGTCACAGACAAAAAGTATATTAACCAACGAATCCCTTAGTATGTAAACCTGCAATGCCACCAAGTGGTAGAATCATCTGCCTCTATAGATATAAGGCACTCTGCTGCTCCAAATCCTCTTACCCACGCTCTTCATGGAGCTGCCTATCTTGGTGCTGACACGGAGGAACTTGCTGAGATCCCAGCGAGGGACCTTCACCACACAGTAGTCCAGACTGGGCTCAAAGTTAGCCGTGGTCTGGTTGGTCACAGAGTTCCTGGACAAGAGCAGAAACATTACCAGGACTGGTTACAACCTTGGTATTAGTAGATAAATGCCCAAATTAAATTCTTAACCTGACTTTTGTCCAAACTCACTTGAGGACAGGTAGAGGGATGCCCAGACCCAACTTGGCAGCCACGTAGGCCAGGGGATATCCTGTAGCTTTACTGGCCAGAGCTGAGCTCCGAGACAGACGGGCATTCACTTCAATGATGTAGTACTAGAGCACAGAAACACCCATTTAGATTGCTATACAGTATAAACATTGTAAAATATCAGAACACGTTTCAGAGGTTTAACACTAGTATAAACTATCCGAATATGATTCACAATGTCAGTACGGACTATTACCTGTTCAGACTCAGGGTTGAGGGCGTACTGGATGTTACACTCTCCCACGATGCCCAGGTGTCTGATGACCTTGATGGCGGTGTCCCTCAACATGTTGTACTCATAGTCGTTGAGAGTCTGACTGGGCGCCACCACGATGGACTCCCCAGTGTGGATACCCAGAGGGTCAATGTTCTCCATGTTACATACCTACAGGACAGATGAACACACTCAACACTTTAATCACATTCGATCTTGCGTCTCCATTGATAAGGAGGCTTCACACTTAAACTCCGATGTATAATCTCTAAATAGTAGCCGTAATACAGTCAAATGCATAATAACATAGTAACAAATTTGTAAACAATGTATACATTCTCAATATTATCCATAATACAGTCACATGCAGTGTCGTCCCTCTACTTACGGTGATACAGTTGTCGTAGGCGTCTCTGACCACTTCATACTCGATTTCCTTCCAGCCCTTCAGGGACTTGTCCACTAGGACCTGGGAGGTGTGGGCGAAGGCAGAGATCACCAGAGAGGTCAACTCCTCACTGTTATTGGCAAAGCCAGAGCCCAGTCCGCCCAAGGCAAAGGCAGAGCGCACCAGGACAGGGTAGCCAAGACGCTCTGCAGCCGCCACCGCCTAAGACACAGAAAAAAAAGAACATGTAAATATACACACAGCAAAAGCCCAGAGTAGTCAAATAGATCAAAAGGATGGTTCTAACCCATTAATAAAGTGAAAATCAGGAAGAAAATTGTATCGTTTGGGTATGGGTCAATGTGTGTGTGAGAGGGAGTGAGTGAGACATTTGTCCCAAGCCCCTCTCCTTACCTGCTCCACAGACAGAGCAGCCTCGCTGGGTGCCACATGTTCATTGATCTCCTCCATCTTCTCCAAAAAGATCTTTCTGTCCTCAGTCATCTCGATGGAGGCCACTGGCGTCCCCAGCACACGCACCGCATACTTCTCCAGGACCCCCCTCTTGGTCAGCTCCACCCCGCAATTCAGAGCAGTCTGCCCCCCGAAGGTCAGGAGGACCCCATCTGGACGCTCATTCTTTATCACCTGGACAGGGGAAATTTGGCAGATGGTCAGTTCTCACTCATTGCCTGAATGAATGAATGAATGAATTTCAATGACAACTTGTGGGACAAACGGGCTCCTTCTCTACTATCAGTTCTACATTTACATTTTAGTCATTTAGCAGACGCTCTTATCCAGAGCGACTTACAGTTAGTGAGTGCATACATTTTCATACTGGCCCCCCGTGGGAAACGAACCCACAACCCTGGCGTTGCAAGCGCCATGCTCTACCAACTGAGCTACACGGGGCCTGAGTTCTGAGTATCTGAGAGAGTTTTAACGCACACGCTTTGCTTGTTGAGCACTCATCTGAAATGAGTGACTGGAGGATGGCGCAGGTAGCAATGTCCTTCCTTACCTCAGTGACGTACTCTGGGGTGAGAGGCAGGAAGTAGACCTTGTCAGCCAGTCCCTTGGAGGTTTGAACCGTGGCAATGTTGGGGTTAATGAGCACAGTCTGAATGTTCTCCTCCTTCAATGCTTTTATGGCCTTGGGGGGGGTGTTGGACATAGACAAGTGTCTGATTAGTTCAAGTACTGTTAAATTAGAGAACCAACATTGAATTATACGGCTCATGGCATTTGCTGTTAGGTCTTCACTGGTGTTGGCAGTGTGTCTCACCTGAGAGCCAGAGTAGTCAAACTCCCCAGCCTGTCCGATGGAGAGGCCTCCAGAGCCCAGGATCAGGACCTTGCGTGGCCGAACAAACTCCTCCGGCTTGGGAGAACCAGGGTAGGTCAGGTGCTCCGTCAGTCTCTGCTTCACTGCAGGGAGGGAGAGAGAGACGTTACTATATTCTACAATTGGAATACAGAGGTAAGTGTTGAGGAGATGAATGCACATCTAACCTGGTTTGCCACTCTTGCCCTCCTTGTAGTCTCTGACTGTGTCCAGAAACACATCAAACAGACTGACCAGGTCAGTGGGGCCTGCCATGTGCTCTGGGTGGAACTGGACACTGAAATGACACGGGTAAAACAATATCTGGATATCAATTTCCTGTATCTTGGAGGGTCATTTTGTTGACTACCATTTTTTCCCCAATTAAACAAGATGAAAGGCTGGAAGCTGCACAAGAGTTTGTATTTGTAGTTGTACCTGAATAGGTGTTTGGTGTTGTGCACAATGCCCTCACTGGTCTGGTCATTGGCATTGGTGAAGAGTACATCCCAGCCCTGAGGCAGGGTGAGAGGGTCCACAGCAAAGCCATGGTTCTGAGAGGTGATGAAACAGCGATCCGTGCCCTTGTGGATGCAGGGCTGGTTATGGCCACGATTTCCATACCTAAAAACAGACGCACAGAGTTGTTTTAGTCTAATTCTATTCTTTAAATGGCCTATATTCTGCAGAATCCTTACTTGACACCTAAACAGTGCAGAGGTCTCGCTATAAACCCTGTCAACTGTTATGCTTTCCACCCACTGACTGTACAGCTGCATGGCCAAACTTTCCAGAGGGACAAAAGGAAGCTGGCATCTCATCTGGCCTTGGACGAACGGAACGCTAACAAAGTCACAATCCCAGGAGTCTTACCAAAACAAACCAGGCCTTTCCAGCACCTCAGCAATGCATTAGGCTGCATCCAGACTGCTGTGCTAAGCAGAAAAGCTCATTTCACACCAGAACACTCCCAGATAAATAAAGAGGGGCCCTGGGAAACACTGACATCTGAGGGAGGGAGCCAAATAACAGCACCAACAGCCAGCACCACTGGCTGTCCTCTTTGAAGCAAAAGAAAGACAGAGTAAGCAGAACTTAAGAGCTGAGGAGGCAGAGAGAGAGTGACACCAATCACAACTACCATTTAGTACCCTATCCCTGTACTAACTTCATTTTGTAGGTTTTTGCTCCGATGACGAGGGAGAGAAGCTGGTGGCCCAGGCAGATACCAAACACAGGCTTGGGGTTGTCCACACACACCACCTTCCTCACGTTGTTTATGGTCTCCTTACAGAACTGGGGGTCCCCAGGGCCGTTGCTTATAAACAGCCCATCAAAATCTGAAAAGGACCACATCTCTTTCAGCATAGCAACAACAAATATTACAATACAAACTATTTCACATATTATATCATAAAGTTCTACTGTGGCTGAAACTCAACTTTGCAGGTCAGAAGCTCCAAGGTAAAGATCAAGGCAGGTGAGAGAAAAGGGAAAACAAGGGAACAGGGAGTGATGGTACAGTGCCCTTCTGAATTGTATATGAAACCCAGTGCTGTAACCACCTGTGACTAACCTGTGCTGTCTAGTGGGTAATCCCAGGGCACCACGGTGACACAGGCCCCTCTCTGACACAAGCATCGGATCTGGTTGTACTTAATGCCACAGTCTACTGCTGTGATCCTGATAGTACCACTGGGGTTGAACACCAGGGGCTCCTGCTCAACACACAGACAGACAAGGCACTTATTAGTTATGAGAAAAAAGAGCCTCTGCTTATCTACTGTGGTGAGAGACAAAACATTAGACTTTTCACGGACTTGGAATGTGATAAGCGTTATGTAATCCACACAAAACCATTGGCATTTGATTTAGGACGTTTTAGGATCAAAACACTAAAAAAAGTGTGACAGGACCAAACTGAAACATAGCAACGCCTTACCTTCATGGACACCTCCTTGACCAGGTTCCTCTGGTCAGGGTTGTCAAATGGAACGTTGGCCTCCGGCGTTCCGTCCACAACCAGCTTCCCCAGCATGGTTCCCTTCTCACGGATCTTCTTGGTCAGACTGCGGGTATCAACTCCTACAGTATCACAGCAAGCGCATCAACTACAACCTCTATTGTACACACTACTGTAAGCAGCACCATATCAAAACACATTCAGACAACATTTGATACAGTATTAGGATGTTTAGAATGATAACTCTACTGACCCTCTAGGCCAGGGATGCCCTGCTCTTTGAGCCACTGGTCCAGAGACATGGATGAGCTCCAGTGGCTGGGGTTCTGGGAGATCTCTCCTACGATGAGGGCTGCAGCGTGGATCTTAGAAGACTCAAACCACTGAGGGGCAGCAGGTAGCTTAGTGGTTAAGAGCGTTGTGCCAGTAACTGAAAGGTCGCTGGTTCTAATCCCCAAGCCGACTAGGTGAAGAATCTGTTGATGTGCCCTTGAGCAAGGCACTTAACCCTAATTGCTCCTGTAAGTCTCTCTGGATAAGAGCATCTGCTAAATGACTTAAATGTAAAACAGAATTTAACATTACAGTCAAACAGGAGCTTGGGGTCAATATATTTATTTTCTCCACCTATTATTTCTGTTGGGAAGCTTCTGTGAAACACTGGCTACTAGCCAACTCCACCCACCTTGCTGAGTCCAAAGTCACCCTTCTCATCCTTGGGTATGCCATAGTTGCCCTGCAGAGGGTAGGTGAGGGTGAGAATCTGACACCTGTAGGACGGGTCAGTCAGGGCCTCTGGGTAGCCCACCATGCCTGTCTGGAACACTGGAAAACAAACAATCATCTGGTCAACTTTTCAGTTTTCATAGCAAAGTGTAAATCAGTGAAAAGTGCTACATTTCAGGATTGGCACATTGAGAAAGGTGATGATACTGGAACTTTAGACATTTGCACTGAGCTCCATTTATTATAGCAAAACTCTTACTGGCTAAATTTAATTTGTGAGGGGAGCATAAAATCATAATCGAATTACCCAATCTTTCAGTAATTATATTGAAAGAAATGGATCTTACAATCTAAATGAATGCTAGATACATATCCATTATAATTTACGAGACATGGTACAGCAACAAACGCTTTATAGGGCATAGGAGAAACATCTGTTTATAAGTAGGTCAAATTGAGTTGCGCCACTGACCGAAATAGGGATGAATGAAGGAGTCGGAGGTTATGGTAGGGCCCTGTGATTTGCGCAATCATGTGGCATGCCTGGATTCTAACCCTTATTTAAAGCTTCTTCATCAAACTGTCCCCTTCTCTTTTTACGTCAGATGGTCCAGCACCATTCTCAGACAATTACTTTAATTTTTGGTTTAATTCAAATTTCTGAATAAGGTTTAAAATACAGGACACAACCTTAATGACACATTATTGCGCAAAACACAGGGCCCAAGTGCCAGCTTGTCAAATAGTATGTTCTGGATTGGAAGGCACGCGCAGTAAAGACTGCACCACTGTGCAAACTTAAACATTTAGCGCGAAACAACCGCGACAGTTGGGTGAAGAGCTGCGTTTAGCTATAAAAGTACACTTTGTGGGTAACATATAGCTACCAATCAGAATATGAATGATGATATCATTCTATAAAAACTAGCTAGCTAGACAGATTTTGCGAATAAATGGGCTAATTTGCTTTCTCCTCATAAAATACAACTTACCAACTTCACCAGATACCGACGCGTTTGCCCCGAAAAGGCGGCCCTTGAAGGTGGTCCCATCTTCTAAAATCAGGGTTGCCATTCTTTAAAATACAAATTGTCAATACTGTAATTGTACAGAATCAACACAATTTTCGATTCGATTATGAGAAGCAATAATCAGCTTTTTGGTCTGATCGATGCTTCAGTTCCTTAATTGTTGCCCACGTGAAACACGCTGGCTATATGCTAATGAGATACACGAGCAAAAAAAATCATTGACAAATTACTACATTAAAACGAAGACAAATTATTATGTTATTTGCAAACAAAAGAAAGTGTTAAATGCATCGAAATGTTGTCTGTCGAAAACTGAACACTGGGTCCATACCGCTTAGCAGTGTGGAACTTTTTTAGCGACCTCACCGTGGTTACATAGAGCGTAAAAACGAGCGTAAGCACGTTCAGGGAGGGGACAATCACAAAGGACTGGCTTTTGCTCCTTTGAAGACTGGCACCCAGAATCATGGTAATGATGATTTTGTGCTGTTTGTTCAGTTGGCTCAGTTGATTCACTTCACACAATAGATCAAAGTATTAAATAATATGGAGGTATGTTTTTATTTAGCTGTGATAAACATTCTCAAAATAGGCTATTTGCGTACAGTGCCATTGCCTGCCTGCCTATGAGGATTTCAAGAGATTTGTGTAGGCTAGTCTAATGTACGCTTTACTTACTTATGAATATCTGTATGTATGATGGATTGTTTTACAAATCACCTAACAGACCCCAACTCAACACCTCCTTTACAAAGTCCTCCTAAATGATTCAATGCAATACTGCAGTAGTTTTCTTCTTATATTAGCTAGTTGTGATAGACTATTGCATTCTGTGGTTCACCAATGCTGTCATATCTTTGGCGCAGAGGCTTTTTGTAGGGCAGAATGGGCACTGGGACTCCCCTAAATCGATCCATTAAATCCAATCCTCCAAAGAAATTCACCAAGATGATGCCCAACTTAGCTGGCATGAAGCTGAAACAAAAGAAAATGCACTTGAGATCTCAAGTCAATAAGTTGACTATTCTAGAGTATAAAGTAACTCAGTGGTAGATACTTCAAAACTGTTACATTCTCCCCATACGACAGGTGTCATTAGGTGTGGCGTATCAATCCCTGGATTCAGTGACTGACCATTGAGCTTCTGATACAAGTGAAAATGCCTTGGGAAAAAGAAAAGAGACTACTGAGGTATGGAACTAATGTCTACCTTTTTAATGCCATGAGGAAGTACAGACTGGATGGTAGCAGTAAGTACATCTTCTCCCTCAGGATTGCATCAACAATCATCTTTGCTGCATCCCACTTGTCCATGATGGGCAGAAAAGACGGCCACCTAAACAACAAGGGAAAAGCTAGAAATTGCACGAGTATCATTATTGCCCGTTTTAGTTACCCGAGGGGGGCAATCATATAGGAATAACTTACTTTGTCTGACATCCTCCAAACATGGTTGTGTTGATCAAGTAAGGACATACTATAGTAGTTTTGACCCCCTCCTTCTTGAGGACAAGCATCTCTAAGGCAATGGATTCAGCAAATCCAACAGCTGCAAACTTGCTTGCACAGTAGTCTGTCAACAATAATTGTTTCTGTTATATTAATGTAATTGAATTATTATTGAATTCTGTGGAGTAACACTATGGATAGAAGCTAATATTGTTGTGTAGCGGGGCTCACTCCGAATAGTGTAAATGACCCACATGAGGATTCACCCACCTGCTAATCCGTTCATAGCAAACAGTCCTCCATGACAGGCCACACACACAAGATGCCCATGGTTCCTGGACATCATAGCAGGGAGGAAAGCCTTGTATGTCTGTACAGATTCATGTCAGAGAGAAATGTATGGATCATCATACAGAATACAGATCAACTCTTAAATAACATTTACATTTTACATTTTAGTCATTTATCCAGAGCGACTTACAGTTAGTGATTACATATTTTTTTTATACTGGCCCCCCGTGGGAATCGAACCCACAACCATGGCGTTGCAAACACCATGCTCTATCAACTGAGCTACATCCCTGCCGGCCATTCCCTCCCCTACCCTAGACGACGCTGGGACAATTGTGCGCCGCCCATGAGTCTCCCGGTCGCGGCCGGCTGCGACAGAGCCTGGATTCGAACCAGGATCTCTAGTGGCACAGTTAGCACTGCGATGCAGTTCCTTAGACCACTGCGCCACTCAGGAGCTCAATAAAATAATGTTTGGATAGTTTTGTTTGCCTCCCCAGAAATTACAAGCTCAATTACCCAGAAGTGAGCAGCGACATTGACCCTCAGTGTTCTGTCCACCATGTTGTCTGGGGCCTCTGTGAAGGTGTACTTTCCTGTCACTACTCCTGCATTATTCACCAAGATGGAAACATCCCCCACCTCCCTCTTTACCTGTTGAATCAGCAGGTGAGTCAAAGTGTACATCAAATCACACACAGTGCTTGGCGGACAAGGTACTTTTTTCTCCTGTTAAACATGATATTACCAATTACACACAGTGTTCACATTATGATACAAATTATTGTGCAAATTTAAAAAGTTGACTGGCCCAAAAGTTATCTCAGGTTTTATTCAAACATAGAACAAACCACCTTACTAGGTCTGCAACTTTATACACCTCAGTCCGTCGACTGCAGTCACAAGCATAGGCATAGACACGTATGTCCAGTATCTGGCGAAGTTCCTTGGCTGTCTCATCAAGAGCTTCCCAGTCGACGTCCCATAGGACCAAGGTAGCCCCACGACGACCCAGCTCCTTGGCTATCAGTTTGCCAATGCCATTGGCTGCCCCTGTTATCAACACTATTTCCCCTTCCACGTCCTTTCTGGGTGGTTGGATGAACAGACGCACAAGGGCCTCAAACAGGTAAAAGATTGCTCCAATAATGAGCTCAAAAAATTCCTTTATGTAACACAAATTTAATAGAAAGCCCTCGAAACACTGGATCAAATGGTTGTGCATATTTGCTCTTATTACAATATTTGTTTCCCTTTTAAAAAGTCTCTAGGTTATATCTTCAAATCCTTCTATGAATGTATTGATCCTTTTCTTCAAAGTCTTGCTTTAACGCAACATCATGTCCCTCTCTCTGATTAGCCTCAGATGTCCCTCCCCTGTGCTAATGTCATACGCTGTCATATGAGTGTTTTATTTTTGGTTCTCTCATATCTGCTGTGTCACATTGGTGATTGACCTGTCACCTAGTAGTCAGTGGCCATTTGTTATCGAGATAATTTTAGATGTGGTTAATGTTAGCCAGAGACCCGATGATAGTGGTTTACTTTTGTGTGTGTGCTACCCACTATAACCCAGTACAGTAACTCCACACCTATAAACCACCCCAAATATACAGTAATTTACTATAACTACCCCATAGCCTACCATAGGCCTATGACAGCCCTATTACTATCATTAACGTTACTGCCACTACCATTAGTAATAGTTGTAGCTACTGAAGTCACTGCCACTACCAGGAACTATATAGTATAGGCTTGTAGACCTAGTAGCTACTAAATACTAGGCCTAAACAGAGCAAAACAATTTTTTACCCCCAATAAAACGCATTTAACGACCATAAATCCGTCGACTGGCAAAAAAATATGCACTTAACTCACCTAGTTTTCACCCATTTCGTATGATGTCATAACTGTAGTATACGGGTTTATCTGCTAAGTATTGCATGGTTGGGGATGTAGCTCAGTGGTAGAGCGCATGCTTTGCATGTATGAGGCCCCGGGTTCAATCCCCGGCATCTCCAAGTGAACTTTTTATTTTGCAATTCGAAAACACTGGTATATTGTTTTTCATTTGATGCGTTTTGATATAATATTAGCTTTGCTGTGTTTGACAAATATTTTATAGCCAAATGTTGAAAATAACACAAATCCGAGCTCCGGATATTTTCGTGTGTGCGTTAGGAGTTAGTGCAGGGTTTCCCACACTCCGTCCTCGAGACTCCAACGGTTTTTGCCCTAGCACTACAGAGCTGATTCAAATAATCAACTAATCATCAAGCTTTGATAATTTCAAACCAACTGTGTACTGTTGGGGCAAAAAACAAAACGTGCACCCCTTGTGGTCGCCACGACCGAGCAAACTCTGCTGTAGTGGGTTATAGTCACTGCTTAATTTGAGCCGGATCCGGCACATCACCGTTTTGAACTGTTTCGTTCCGGAACCTATTTGGCCGGATCCGGTACCTCTCGTGGCATAAAACAATACTTTTACTTTTTGCAATGTAAAAATGTTAATAAAAGCGATCAAAGTTCATTCGAGTTGCCTCTTCTTTAAAATAACATAATATGAGAAAGTAGATTTTCAGCAGGGCCTGATATTCTAAGAGTTGATTCGGGTTGGGCCTGCCTGGGTTTATGTTTTGCACAACATTGACCACGTTTACATGTGCACAGTATTCCGGATAGTAGCTCATATCCTGCTTAAGGTCTTATTCGGGAGAATCTGTTTACATGCACCTTTGATATCAAATAAAATAAAATTGTATTTGCCACATGCGCCGAATACAACAGGTGTAGACATTACAGTGAAATGCTTAGGTACAAGCCCTTAACCAACAATGCAGTTTTAAAAAAATAAATAAAAAAAGTGTTAAGTAAAAAATAGATAAGTAAAAAATAAAATAAAATAACTAAAGAGCAGCAGTAAAATAAAATAACAGTAGGGAGGCTATATACAGGGGGGTACCGGTACAGAGTCAATGTGCGGGGGCACCTGCTAGTCAAGGTAATTGAGGTAATATGTACATGTGGGTAGAGTTAAAGTGACTATGCATAAATAATAGCAGCAGCGTAAAAGAGGGGATGGGGTGGGGTGGGGGGGGGGGGGGGGGGGGGGCAGTGCAAATAGTCCGGGTAGCCATGATTAGCTGTTCAGGAGTCTTATGGCTTGGGGGTAGAAGCTGTTAAGAAGCCTTTTGGACCTAGACGTGGCGCTCCGGTCCCGCTTGCCGTGCGGTAGCAGAGAGAACAGTCTATGACTAGGGTGGCAGGAGTCTTTGACAATTTTTAGGGCCTTCCTCTGACACCGCCTGGTATAGAGGTCCTGGATGGCAGGAAGCTTGGCCCCAGTGATGTACTGGGCCGTACGGACTACCCTCTGTAGTGCCTTGCGGTCGGAGGCCGAGCAGTTGCCATACCAGGCGGTGATGCAACCAGTCAGGAAGCTCTTGATGGTGCAGCTGTATAACTTTTTGAGGATCTGAGGACCCATGCCAAATCTTTTCAGTCTCCTGAGGAGAAATAGGCTTTGTTGTGCCCTCTTCACGACTGTCTTGGTGTGTTTGGACCATGATAGTTTTTTGGTGATGTGGACACCAAGGAACTTGAAGCTCTCAACCTGTTCCACTACAGCCCCGCCGATGAGAATGGGGGCGTGCTCAGTCCTTTTTTCCCCCTGTAGTCCACAATCATCTCCTTTGTCTTGATCACGTTGAGGGAGAGGTTGTTATCCTGGCACCACACGGCCAGGCCTCTGACCTCCTCCCTAAAGCCTGTCTCATCGTTGTCAGTGATCAGGCCTACCACTGTTGTGTCGTCGGCAAACTTAATGATGGTGTTGGAGTTGTGCCTGGCCATGCAGTCATGGGTGAACAGGGAGTACAGGAGGGGACTGAGCATTCACCCCTGAGGGGCCCCCGTGTTGAGGATCAGCGTGGCAGATTTGTTGTTACCTACCCTTACCACCTGGGGGCGGCCCGTCAGGAAGTCCAGGATCCAGTTGCAGAGGGAGGCGTTTAGTCCCAGGGTCCTTAGCTTAGTGATGAGCTTTGAGGGCACCATGGTGTTGAACGCTGAGCTGTATTATTATTATTATTATTATTATTATTATTAGTCAATGAATAGCATTCTCACGTAGGTGTTCCTCTTGTCCAGGTGGGAAAGGGCAGTGTGGAGTGCAATAGAGATTGCATCATCTGTGGATCTGTTGGGGCGGTATGCAAGTTAGAGGGGGTCTAGGGTTTCTGGGATAATGGTGTTGATGTGAGCCATAACCAGCCTTTCAAAGCACTTCATGGCTACAGACGTCAGTGCTACGGGTCGGTAGTCATTTAAGCAGGTTATCTTAGTGTCCTTGAGCACAGGGACTATGGTGGTCTGCTTGAAACATGTTGGTATTACAGACTCAGTCAGGGACATGTTGAAAATGTCAGTGAAGACACTTGCCAGTTGGTCAGCGCATGCTCAGAGTACACGTCCTGGTAATCCGTCTGGCCCTGCGGCCTTGTGAATGTTGACCTGCTTAAAAGTCTTACTCACATCAGCTACGGAGAGCGTGATCACATAGTCATCCGGAACAGCTGATGCTCTCATGCATTCTTCAGTGTTGCTTGCCTCGAAGTGAGCATAGAAGTGATTTAGCTTGTCTGGTAGGCTTGTGTCACTGGGCAGCTCGCGGCTGTGCTTCCCTTTGTAGTCTGTAACAGTTTTCAAGCCCTGCCACATCCGACGAGAGTCAGAGCCGGTGGAGTACGATTCAATCTTAGTCCTGTATTGACTCTTTGCCTGTTTGATGGTTCGTCAGAGGGCATAGCGGGATTTCTTATAAGCGTCCGGGTTAGAGTCACGCTTCTTGAAAGCGTCAGCTCTACCCTTTAGCTCAGTGTGGATGTTGCCTGTAATCCATGGCTTCTGGTTGGGGTATGTACGTAAAGTCACTGTGGGGACGACGTCATCGATGCACTCAGAAGAATCCCGGAACATATTCCAGTCTGTGCTAGCAAAACAGACCTGTAGCTTAGCATCAGCATCATCTGACCCCTTTTTTATTAACCGAGTCACTGGTGCTTCCTGCTTTAGTTTTTGCTTATAAGCAGGAATCAGGAGGATAGAGTTATGGTCAGATTTGCCAAATGGAGGGCGAGGGAGAGCTTGGTACGCGTCTCTGTGTGTGGAATAAAGGTGGTCTAGAGTTTTTCTTCCTCTGGTTGCACATTTAACATGCTGGTAGAAATTAGGTAGAATGGATTTAAGTTTCCCTGCATTAAAGTCCCCGGCCACTAGGAGCGCTGCCTCTGGATGAGCGTTTAATTTCCTGTTTACTTATGGCCTTATACAACTCATTGAGTGCAATCTTAGTGCCAGCATCGGTTTGTGGTGGTAAATAGACAGCTACGAAAAATATAGATGAAAACTCTCTTGGTAAATAGTGTGGTCTACAGCTTATCATGAGATACTCTACCTCCTGCGAGCAAAACCTGGAGATTTCTTTAGTATTAGATTTTATGTACCAGCTGTTGTTTACAAATATACACAGACCGCCACCCCTTGTCCTGCTCAAGAGTATCCCTGTAGCCATGAATAAACAGAATATTCCTCATTTAAATTCCTATGGGTTAAATGGAATAGTAACTGAAATATTGACACTGACTGTAGGCCTATAACCTCTCTCATGTAGCGCTGCGTAGTAGCCTATAATATGAACTCCTGCAGAATTATGCATTTTTTGCAGTAAAATGATACAACAAATGTTTATTTCGTCTTGGGAACAGGAGTGGAGAAATATGATTTATTTATTTCATCTTCTCTTGAGAAAATGCGAATGCATGTGTAAAGTGTTATCTTTGACACTGTTATGCAAGCAGACAGTAGGCTATTTCAATCACATAAAATATGCACGCACCCAAGACTAACTAAAGTCTTATCAGAAACGTGTTTATAATCATTTTCTCAGCTTTTCACTTCCTTAAAACCGGTCAAACTGATGACATTTTGACATTTTGCACAGGTGTCGTGTATGACGATTATGACTATTTTAGAGGAACAAAGAAAATAATGTTTATCTTAGTTCGAAAGTAGCCGTTTGTGGGGTGACGCCCCAGGGGAGACTGGTGATTGGACAGAAGAGGGAGCAACCCATCTTTTTGCATTGTTTATAAGTATATGCTGGGCGAAGAAGAAGTCAGAGCGGCCATTGCAATCTGGGACGTCGCTCTCCGGGTGTCATGACATCTGTCACTTATGCTGAAAGCTTGTGATATGAATAAACCTTATGATCCAAGTTCAGTATGAGCGGACTCCTTTGTTTATCAGCAATAATTGCCAGCATTTACTCGATACGACACAGGACCAATCTTTCCACTGTTTGGAGTTATTGCGTTTTCTCCCCGGTCACTAAACGAAACAGACAATTTTACCAGCGTTAACTAGATTACTAATGCATTCATCTATCAATGTAAGACATTATTCTGGTGACGAGGACAACTTTTTTTTTGTCTTCTGGGGCAACAAGTTGTGACAGAAGAGAAGCTGCATGTATCTAACTATAGTTGGCAAACAAATGGCCTACCAAATGTTGGAAATTATAATATGACCTACCAAATGTCGGAAATTATGAGCAGAGAGTTGTCTAAATTAGGGTTGAAAGTAGCCAGTAGGCTATGCGATAAAGTACAGCCTATGAGCAAAATAAATTAATATGGAATTATGGTGGATCGAACTGCGCAGGTAGCCTACTTTTTGAAGTGATTTGTTTGACAATCAGATGAAAACATCGTCACACAACACCCATAATATGCGAAACCGAGCCTGTGCAGACCGCGAAAAACAACAGTAAACGGGATAAGATGTTTACATGCCACAGTAGCCTATCCCATCTAGATTCAGCATATCCCAGGCATCTTATCCGGGTTTCTCATAACCGGGATCCACGCTTTTTCGGGTTATTGTAAACGGGATATGATGTTTACATGTGTTGCAACATGTGTCAACAAAAAAACAGAATACTTAAGTATCCGGAATAATAACGGAATTTCGGTGTGCATGTAAACGTGGTCAGTGTAACCTATGTTTGAGACCAACGGATGGCCGTGGCTGTGTGAGAAGCGCACCTGTATCTCTCACAGAACGAATACGAGATTAACTTTATATGATCTCTCGCCCTCTCTGCTCTGATTCTGTAGATATGAGCCTGCACCTCTCATCTCTCCAGCGTTGCACTTCATCATTTCTTTCCTTATAGAGTCATATCCGCGTGAAGTGTTCTGGAGGAGCTGCAGCACCCGGTCAGCAAATATGTCAGCAAATCTGTCAGCATGCAGACAAAACAGGCGTTTAGCAATTTTTCAAATACAATCGCGGGAAAACATAGGTTGGAAAGCAAATGGCTCCTCCTGAAAAGAGAAGACTCTAATCCATATGCTGAAGGCTACTAAAATATTTGATCAACTTCCAAATATTGTTTTAAAACAAGCGAGAGATAGGCTTTCTGCAAGAACACATCAGCCATCACCAGCAAGTGAAACATAACATACTTTTTTTGGGGGGACTAATTTCCTCCTGGTATTGTAGCCTACAATATGTGCATCTCCACACACTTAGGCCTAGGCCCTCCTGACCGCAGATTCCCCCCCCCCCCCAAAAAAACTTTTTTTTTTTTTTACCCCGCTTGGGCTTCGACCCCTGATATCATATAAACACACATAAGACATGGAAGAATGCATAGAATTGCAGGAAATTAGCTTTAAAACAGGGAAACAAATCTCTGCCCCATGGAAAATGTGTAGGATTGCGGGACATTTTCTTTAAAACTGCAACATTTTCTCTCCCGGGGTGTGAACAGTTTGGGGTCGCATGGGTTGCAAGGTGGGGGTTTGTTACTACGCCGATAAATTACATTATCCATCCGGACCTTTGCCACCTAGGACATTTGTGTGACTGGACCTTCTCAAATAGTAGTTGAGTATCCCTGGCCTAGGCTATTGATGGATTCAAGACAACGTAGTTTTAATTGATCTCAGATTCTCAGTTTGTCAATGTCAAAGTAGCCTGTCATTTCGATCATTTGTGCGGTATTAAAAAATATTCTCCAGTCATGTAAAATGACTTAGAATTGCATTAAATGGCTTTATAAAATGACAACATTTTCCGGGATCCTAGGCTACTAAAAATGTTCCCCATGTGTGCCACTTCTGTAAGATCCTCTACTCTACTGCTCTATGCCACTACTCAAATGCGATGATGATATACATGCAATGCTTTATTATAAAGGAGAATTTTTTTTCTCATGCGTTCCTGTACCTCAGAGCTTCACTCTGCGGTCCAACTCATCCCAAACCATCTCAATTGGGTTGAGGTCTGGTGATTGTGGAGGCCAGGTCATCTGATGCAGCACTCCATCACTCTCCTTCTTGGTCAAATAGCCCTTACACAGCCTGGAGGTGTGTTTTGGGACATTGTCTTGTTGAAAAACAAATGATAGTCCCATTAAGCCCAAACCAGATGGGATGGCGTATCGCTGCAGAATGCTGTGGTAGCCATGCTGGTTAAGTGTGCCTTGAATTCTAAATAATAATGTCACACCTCCTCCTCCATGCTTCACGGTGGGAACCAAACATGCGGAGATCATCTGTTCACCTACTCTGCGTCTCACAAAGACATGGTGGTTGGAACCAAAAATCTAAAATTTGGACTCATCAGACCAAAGGACAGATTTCCACCGGTCTAATGTCCATTGCTCATGTTTCTTGGCCCAAGCAAGTCTCTTCTTCTTATTGGTGTCCTTTAGTAGTGGTTTCTTTGCAGCAATTCGGCCATGAAGGCCTGATTCACGCAGTCTCCTCTGAACAGTTGATGTTGAGATGTGTCTGTTACTTGAACTCTGTGAAGCATTTATTTGGGCTGCAATTTCTGAGACTGGTAACTCTAATGAACTTATCCTCTGCAGCAGAGGTAACTCTGGGTTATCCCTTCCTGTGGTGGTCCTCATGAGAGCCAGTTTCATCATAGCGCTTGATGGTTTTTGCGACTGCACTTGAAGAAACCTTCAAAGTTCTTGACATTTTCCGGATTGACTGACCTTCATGTCTTAAAGTAATGACGGGCTGTTGTTTCTCTTTGCTGTTCTTGCCATAATATGGACTTGTTCTTTGACCAAATAGGACAATCTGTCACATCTACTCCTGAAACACCCTCTACTGCTCATCCTGTGTCTCCTTGACCTGCCACCAATCCCCCAGTACTCTCTCCCGCTCTCTCTCTCTCTCTCTCTCTGTGTGTGTGTGATTGTGTGGGCGGAGACAGGTGTGCTGGAGTCAGAGCAGATCCCCACCAGCTGCAACCTGTTCCATAATCAAGACCTCTACAAATACTCAGTCCTGCCACTTCCACACTGCCAGATCGTAATCTCTGCTCAGTCAGTCTACGGTTCTAGCCGTTTGTTACTATTCTGATCCTGTTATCATGTTGTGCCTGTTTTCCTTGCCTGACGCTGTTTTCAGCTACAGTTCTGCCCGCTTTGACTCTAGTTCCTGTCTCCAGTCCCACGTCTCGTCATCCTGCTACTGGATTCCCCACTCTACTACTCCCTTGGATTTCCCTCCGGACCTGCTCACCCTGTCTCAACCCCCTTCGCTCCAGCCTCAGCCTCAGCACCTGGTTTCCACCAGTTTTCCCCTGACCTGCACTCCACCTTCCCCCTGTGTTTCAATAAATACCTTGGTTACTTCATCCCAGTCTCCTTGTCTGAGTCTGCTCTTGGGTTCCCCTGTTCCACTCCGCGTAACAGTACGATCTGGCCAAAGAGATGAACCCAACAGACTCTGCTACTCTCCACCAAACCCTCGTCGGCCAAGGCGCCTTGCTCGAGCAACATGACCAAGCCCTGAAGACCCTTCTGGAGCACATCAAGGAGTTTTCACAGAGCCTGTCTGACCTACAGGGCCGACCTTTCGCCCAGAGCTTACAACCAGTTCCAAGTCCTTCTCCTCCGCTCTGGGAGCCGTTTGTTTCGACTCCCGAGCATTACGATGGCAAACTCGGAGCTTGCAGAGCCTTTTTGGTACAATATTCACTAGTATTTGAGCAACAGCCCTACTCTTATGCTAGAGAACGGGCCAAGATTTCCTATCTGATTGGTTGCCTCCGTGGAGCAGCGCTTTCCTGGGCCATGGCGGTGTGGGAGAGACAGTCCCCCATCTGCTTCTCCTACTCCAGATTCACGGAGGAGATGAAGAAAGTATTCGACCCCCCGGTCTGCGGTAAGGATGCCGCTAAACGACTCCTGTCCCTCCGTCAAGGTCCCCATAGTGTTTGCTGAGATGGCATGTGCGTTCCGCACCCTCACTGCTGAGAGCGGCTGGAATGAGGAGGCCCTTCAGGGAGCATTCAGGAACGTGCTCACTGAGACCCTCAAGGACGAGTTGGTGTCCAGGGATGAGCCTGATGGACTTGATGAACTCATCTCTCTCGCTATCCGCATCGACAACCGTCTCTGTGAGCATCAGAGGGAGAGGGTAGGTAGGGTTGCATGTCACATAACATCCGCTTCAGTGCCTTGTCCTCCTTCTCCGACTGCATCCCATCCCCAGGCTCGTCCAGATCCTGAACCCATGCGGCTCGGCTGGGGCCTGTCTCTCTCCAGAGGAGAGGCAATGACGAATTGGCGCTAGGAGCTGCCTATACTGTGGCCAGGTTGGTCACTTTGTCTCCACTTGTTCCCTGCGTCCAGCAAAAGCGGGGGCTCGGCAGTAGTGGGGGATATACTGTTGAGCCAAATCGCCTGCCCATCTTCCCCCAGACCCCTGCTTGAAGGCAACCTCTCATCGATTCGGGCGCCAACGAGAGCTTCCTGGACCGAGGTGTCGTTACCCAGTTGGGCCTGGACACTGTCCCACTCGATTCACCCCTCGATGCCAACGCTCTCATTGGACAGCTTCTCACCCGTGTCTGTGAGAGAACCGTCCCTGTCATCCTGCGTCTCTCTGGAAATCACCAGGAAAAGATCAGTTTTCACATAATCGACTGTCCTTACTCTCCCCTGGTTCTTGGCCATCCATGGTTAAAGCTACACAACCCACAGATTGACTGGACCACCGGAAAGGTAACCACAGAGTTCATTTTGTCACTCTAATTGTTTACATTCTGCCCTTCACCCTGCCTTGTCTGTGCCCCAGTTCATTCCAGAACCTACGGACCTGTCATCAGTTCCTCCCGAGTATCACAATCTAGCTCCTGTGTTCCGCAAGCACCACGCTCTGTTGCTGCCGCCTCATCAGTCGTACGACTGCGCCATTGACCTCCAGCCTGGAGCTCCTCTCCCCAGTAGCCGGTTGTTTAACCTCTCTCGTCCCGAGCAAGAGGCAATGGAGAGGTACATCCAGGATTCTCTGGCTGCAGGATTTATCAAGCCACCTTCCTCCCCGGTGGGTGCTGGGTTTTCCTTTGTGAAGAAGAAGGATGGGTCACTGAGGCCGTGCATAGACTTCTGTGGACTGAATAATATCACTGTTAAGCACAAGTACCCCTTGCCACTCATCAGCTCTGCTTTTGTCCCCCTCCATGATGCCACGGTGTTTACCAAACTCGACCTCCGGAATGCCTACCACCTTGTCTGCATAAGAGAGGGGGACAAGTGGAAGACTGTGTTCAACACACCACTTGGTCACTTTGAGTATTTGGTCATGCCTTTTGGTCTTACTAACGCCCCTGCTGTTTTCCAGAACGTAGTCAATGACGTGCTAAGGGATGTGATTGGACCCTTCGTTTTTGTCTATTTAGATGACATCCTGATATTTTTTTTTTTAAGGACCCTGAGGCTCACCAGCAACACGTTCTTCAACGGCTGTTGGAGAATAAGCTTTTTGTTAAAGCTGAAAAATGTGAGTTCCATGCTGCCACAGTGTCTTTCCTGGGTTATATTATTGCACAGGGTACAGTTATGTATGGACCCCGCCAAGGTCATGGCAGTCACAGAGTGGCTGTGCCCTCCAACCTGAAGCAGCTACAGCGTTTCCTGGGGTTTGCAAATTTTTACAGACGTTTCATCCGCAACTACAGCCGTCTGGCAGCACCTCTCACCACTCTCACCTCCACCTCCACCTCCACTCCGTTCCACTGGACTCCTGAGGCAGAGGCAGCATTCCTGGAACTCAAGCGTCGCTTCACCTCCGCTCCGGTCCTTACTCAGCACGACCCAGAACTCCAGTTCATTGTGGAGGTGGACGCCTCTGACAACGGGGTAGGTGCTGTTCTGTCTCAACGTTCCCCCTCTGATCAGAAGGTCCACCCATGTGCATTCTTTTCCTGTAAGCTCTCACCTGCAGAGAGGAATTTTGACATCGGGAACCGGGAACTACTGGCATCTAAGCTGGCTCTGGAGGAATGGCGTTACTGGCTGGAGGGCTCTGTAACCCCCCTCATCGTGTGGACTGACCATAAAAACCTGTCCTACATCCAGACCGCCAAACGTCTGAACTTCCGGCAAGCCAGGTGGGCCTTGTTCTTCGGTAGATTCAATTTCACACTCACTTATCGCCCCGGTTCGAAGAATACCAAGCCTGATGCCCTCTCTCACCAGTTCACCACCGACAACACGGGTACCGAGCCAGAAGCCATTGTGCCATCTGCCTGCATCGTTGCCGCCGTCACCTGGGAGATCGAGTCCCGGATCCGCCAGGCTCAGCAGAACCAGCCTGACCCGGGTAACGGTCCTAGTAATGCTCTGTTTGTCCCAGATTGTGTTCGCTCTGATGTGCTTCAGTGGGGCCATTCTACCCACCTTACCTGTCACCCTGGTATGAACCGGACCCTTGCCATCCTGCGTCAGTGCTTTTGGTGGCCCACCATGGAGAGAGATGTCCGGGAGTTTGTCTCAGCCTGTTAGGGTTGTGCCCGGAACGAAACCTCCACTAAACCCACTTCCGGTCTGCTCCGCCCTCTTCCCATACCCAGTCACCCCTAGTCACACATAGCTCTGGACTGTCACATTACATTTACATTTACATTTTCATCATTTAGCAGACGCTCTTATCCAGAGCAACTTACAAATTGGTGCATTCACCTTATGATGGCCAGTGGGACAACCACTTTACAATATATACATTTTCTTTTTTTGGGGTGGGTGGGGTAGGGGGAGGGTAGAAGGATTACTTTGATCCTATCCCAGGTATTCCTTAAAGAGGTGGGGTTTCAAGTGTCTCTGGAAGGTGGAGAGTGACTCCGCTGTCCTGGCGTCGTGAGGGAGCTTGTTCCACCATTAGGGTGCCAGAGCAGCGAACAGTTTTGACTGGGCTGAGCGGGAACTGTACTTCCGCAGAGGTAGGGGGGCCAGCAGGCCAGAGGTGGATGAACGCAATGCCCTCGTTTGGGTGTAGGGACTGATCAGAGCCTGAAGGTACGGAGGTGCCGTTCCCCTCACAGCTATGTAGGCAAGCACCATGGTCTTGTAGCAGATGCGGGCTTCAACTGGAAGCCAGTGGAGTGTGCGGAGGAGCGGGGTGACGTGAGCGAACTTGGGAAGGTTGAACACCAGACGGGCTGCAGCGTTCTGGATGAGTTGTAGGGATTTAATGGCACAGGCAGGGAGCCCAGCCAACAGGGAGTTGCAGTAATCCAGACGGGAGATGACAAGTGCCTGGATTAGGACCTGTGCCGCTTCCTGTGTAAGGTAGGGTCGTACTCTGCGAATGTTGTAGAGCATGAACCTACAGGATCGGGTCACCGCTTTGATGTTTGCGGAGAACGACAGGGTGTTGTCCAGGGTCACGCCAAGGTTCTTTGCACTCTGGGAGGAGTTGTCAACCGTGATGGCGAGATCATGGAGCGGGCAGTCCTTCCCCGGGAGGAAGAGCAGCTCCGTCTTGCCGAGGTTCAGCTTGAGGTGGTGATCCGTCATCCACACTGATATGTCTGCCAGACATGCAGAGATGCGATTCGCCACCTGGTTATCAGAAGGAGGGAAAGGAGAAGATTAATTGTATGTCGTCTGCATAGCAATGATAGGAGAGATCATGTGAGGATATGACAGAGCCAAGTGACTTGGTGTATAGAGAGAATAGGAGAGGGCCTAGAACTGAGCCCTGGGGGACACCAGTGGTGAGAGCACGTGGTGCGGAGACAGATTCTCGCCACGCCACCTGGTAGAAACGACCTGTGAGGTAGGACGCAATCCAAGAGTGAGCCGCGCCGAAGATGCCCAACTCGGAGAGGGTGGAAAGGAGGATCTGATGGATCACAGTATCAAAGGCAGCAGATAGGTCTAGAAGGATGAGAGCAGAGGAGAGAGAGTTAGCTTTAGCAGTGCGGAGAGCCTCTGTGACACAGAGAAGAGCAGTCTCAGTTGAATGACCAGTCTTGAAACCTGACTGGTTTGGATCAAGAAGGTCATTCTGAGAGCGATAGCAAGATAGTTGGCTAAAGACGGCACGCTCAAGAGTTTTGGAGAGAAAAGAAAGAAGGGATACTGGTCTGTAGTTGTTGACATCGGAGGGATCGAGTGTAGGTTTTTTGAGAAGGGGTGCAACTCTCGCTCTCTTGAAGACAGAAGGGTCAAGGATGAGTTGATGAGCGAGGTGAGGTAAGGGAGAAGGTCTCCGGAAATGGTCTGGAGAAGAGAGGAGGGGATAGGGTCAAGCGGGCAGGTTGTTGGGCGGCCGGCCGTCACAAGTCGCAAGATTTCATCTGGAGAGAGAGGGTAGAAAGAAGTCAAAGCATAGGGTAGGGCAGTGTGAGCAGGACCAGCGGTGTCATTTGACTTAATAAATGAGGATCGGATGTCGTCAACCTTCTTTTCAAAATGGTTGACGAAGTCATCCACAGAGAGGGAGGAGGGAGGGGACATCTGCTCCTGCAACACCCTCTACTGCTCATCCTGTGTCTCCTTGACCTGCTGCCACTCCCCAGTACTCTATGTGTGTGTGTGTGTGTTGGAGTCAGAGCAGATCCCCACCAGCTGCAACCTGTTCCATAATCAAGACCTCTACAAATACTCAGTCCTGCCACTTCCACACTGCCAGATTGTAATCTCTGCTCAGTCAGTCTACGGTTCTAGCCGTTTGTTACTATTCAGATCCTGTTGTGCCTGTTTTCCTTGCCTCACGCTGTTTTCCTCTCCGCTACAGTTCTGCCCGCTCTGACTCTGGTTCCTGTCCCACGTCTCGTCATCCTGCTACTCTGTCCTGGATTCCCCACTCTGCTACTCCCTTGGATTTCCCTCCGGACCTGCTCACCCTGTCTCAACCCCCCTCGCTCCAGCCTCAGCCTCCGCACCTGGTTTCCACCAGTTTCCCCCTGACCTGCACTCCACCTTCCCCCTGTGTTTCAATAAATACCTTGGTTACTTCATCCCAGTCTCCTCGTCTGAGTCTGCTCTTGGGTTCCCCTTTTCCACTCCGCATAACACTATCTTCTGTATACCACCCCTACCTTGTCACAACACAACGGATTAGCTCAAACGCATTAAGAAGGAAAGAAAAGGCACACCTGTTAATTGAAATGCATTCCAGGTGACTACCTCAAGAAGCTGGTTGAGAGAATGCTAAGAGTGTGCAAAGCTGTCATCAAGGCAAAGGGTGGCTACTTTGAAGAATCTCACATATAAAATATATTTTGATTTGTTAAACACTTTTTTGGTTACTACATGATTCCGTATGTGTTATTTCATAGTTTTGATGTCTTCACTATTATTCTACAATATTGAAAAGTAAAACACAACCCTGGAATGAGTAGGTGTGTCCAGACTTTTGACTGCACACCAGAGTTGTGGGTTCGATTCCCATGGGGGGCCAGTATGAAAAATTAAAAAATAATGTATGCACTCACTAACTGTAAATCGCTCTGGATAAGAGCGTCTGCTAAATGACTAAAATGTAAAAAAAAAAAAAAATATTCTACCTTATGTTATTTATTTGTGCAACATTGATATTGATTACAGCATGTTGGGTTTGGACGGAGTTTGCAAGAAAGGCATTTCACTGTACTTGTGCACGTGAGATTACAAACGTAAAACCTGAACACGCCCACATACGTGCCAGACAGTGGTAACCAGGGAGAACGGATGTTTACCAAAATGTCTGCCTCCCTTATCAATCAGTCTAACTAACATAAACAGCAAGAATTTAGGGATTCTATTATATTTTCTAAAGACTACACATTACAGCAGTTACACAGATTATTCTAGATTTCAACCATGCAACTAAAACATAATACGCTTTTAACGCTCCAAGTAAGCTTCACCGTTACTAGCTAACGTTAGCCACCACATCTAGCTAACGTTAACGGTTAGTAGCTACTGTAGCAGTAGCTAACGATAAATCAAATCAAATTTTGTCACATGCGCCGAATACAACAGGTGTAGACCTTACAGTGAATTGCTTACGTACAAGCCCTTAACCAACAATGCAGTTTTAAGAAAGAATACCAAAAAAATCACAACAAATACAATATAAAATAATACAAAATAAAAGTAACAAATAATTAAAGAGCAGCAGTAAAATAACAATAGCGAGGCTATATACAGGGGGTACCGGTACCGAGTCAATGTGCGGGGGCACCTGTTAGTCGAGGTAATTGAGGTAATATGTACATGTAGGTAGAGTTATTAAAGGGACTATGCGTAGTGTGGGGATCTATTTTCTTACAACTAGATGTGATGCCTAGCTTAGAAAGAATACATTAATGATTAAACATAATAGGTTTGTGCTGTACTGATATAGATTGTTTAACATAACAAGCTGTGATTAATGTGAGGAACCGTTAGGGGGTAGGCTGAGATAGACTTGTGACTCACACACACACACTGCCTCTTTGTTAAACCGCTCAAGGACATGTGTACTGTAACAAAAACAACTAATGCCCGGCAACAGGGATGCGCCAAGGGGCTGGGACCAGCCTGAGCGCCAACGATAGGTTGGGTAAGTTTAAACCACACCCAGCCTCTACTCTGACAGGCCCAGCATGGAGCAGGAACTATCTCTGTCAGAGTATTGTAAGTCGCTCTGGATAAGAGCGTCTGCTAAATGACTAAAATGTAAATGTATTAAAGAAGAACCTTGGGTTGAAAAAGTTAGTTCTCTGTCTGCCCTGCGTGGTGTTTCAGTGAGCCCGTATATACGAACATCATATTTACCATTCAAGTGTTTGCATTAATTAAAATACTAGTATATCTTAAAAGACGTGTGTTCACCTCTTTTGTTCCAATACCAGATTCGAATTGACGCAACTTGACAATAGCTAATAAACAGAGTAGCAGCAGCGTAAAATAGGGGGAGGGGGGCAATGCAAATAGTCTGGGTAGCCATTTGATTAGATGTTCAGTAGTCTTATGGCTTGGGGTTAGAAGCTGTTTAGAAGCCTCTTGGACCTAGACTTGGCGCTCCGTAATGCTTTGATGACTAACATTAGCTTGCTGCTAGCTAGCCCTAGTATCTAGTTAACCTCAGTATGTGTCCTTAACTAGATAGCTAGTAAAAAGGTAGTTAGCTAACTTATGTCAATTTTCTTCAACTGATGGCCCCGTATGCTTCAGCAGTGCAGTGTGTGCCGTGTTCACTGAGGCTACAGCTAGCGTCATGTGAAGTATACTGACATGTTATCCAATTTGTTGTCCATTTACCACGGGAGGGTGCTGCCAAAGTGACTTGTATGACATGGGCACCGAATAATATAAAATGTGTTGTATGCACTGTGGACAGAGTGGTCTTACTGTACGATGAGAAAAGGGATATGTTCTCTAATAACCCTGCAGACTCTAAGGTGAGTAAGCACCACAGTCGTAGTTTGACTATCACATGTTATCCTCTCATCAATGATATACACAGCACTTTGTGTCAGGTCAGTTTGATACCGGAAGCTTTTCCCTGAAATACTCAAACACAGCTTGCAGCTGAAGTTGTATCTGATCAGTGATAATGTTCTTGTGATATTTATCTTCTTGCAGTATGGAAAGAAGACCTATGTTGTCAAGGCCATGGCATTTTCTCCTGACTCAACAAAAATTGCCATTGCTGAAACTGATAACATAATTTATGTCTACAAAATCAGAGAGGAATGGTAAGCATAACTTCATACTTCTCGTAGTTGTATTTTGGCTGGGTTTTTATTCACACCATCAATTGTGATGCTTCTTTCTTATTCCTCATACAGGGGTGAGAAGAAGGTCATCTGCAAGAAATTTGTACAGATGGTAAGTAATCACACATTTCTGTGATGCAGTAGAACTATGTTAAAACTCTCTTTTTATTTATTTATTTTAATCAACAACATTCAATTTAAAACACATCTCATCCTGTTTTTAGAGTGCTTTGACATGTTTGCAATGGGCGGCAGAACACGCTATCGTTTTTGGTTTAGCTGAGGGAAAGTTAAGTCATTTACACAATCACAATTTTTTTTATTGACAGTATTTTTTATTAACAGAAAGTTCAATGATTTCTCGGAACATTGTGTTGGATCTTCGCCTTGCTAACACAAAACAAACAAGTCATCTACAGTCTACGGAACAGATTCCTACCTTGTCTCGTTGACATGAAAGTAGGTGTTTTTCTTGTTCTTTATTTCAACCTTCTCACTCAAAGTTGTACTCTGTGGTGGTGATCACAATAATAGTAAACTCCTCTCTGTATAGTGTCTCTGGGAAGGGCATCCTCTCAGGTCATGGAGACGGGACTGTTGTGAGATATTTCTTTGACGATGAAGGATCAGGAGAGTCTCAGGTACTGTACCCAATATTATCATTTCAATGTGTCCCTGGGAATTTTCTCATAATGTTCCTTGGGTGAAACCTTTTGCTTTTACATTTCACAGTTAAAATCTTATCAGGTAGATGTGCATTGATGCATGTTGTGTATTGATGTGCATGTCTCTCCAATCTTTTTGCAGGGCAAATTGTTGACCCACCCTTGCCCACCATATACCTTGGCATGGGGAGCCAACAGCGTCATAGTGGCTGGATGTGACAATAAGATAGTGGCCTATGGCAGGGAGGGTCACATCCAGCAGACTTTTGACTACAGCCGAGACCGCTCGGAGAAAGAGTTCACTGTGGCCGCCACCAGTCCCAGTGGACAGTCTGCGGTCATCGGCAGCTATGACCGGTCAGTCTTCATTTTGATACATCAGTATTCAAGTAATAAGCATGATATTACAACCTCATACAGTATCTTACATTGCTGGGAAGTTCTTCTGGGTGATAAGTTGTTTTGTTCAAATTATGTCATTTCAGATTGAGAGTCTTCAACTGAGGTCATCGGAAAGGAGCATGGGACGAAGCATCCCCCAAAGAGATTCCAAACCTGTACAACATCACTGCCTTGACCTGGAAGAAGGACGGCTCACGCCTCTGTGCAGTGAGTAACCATACACGAACGAACACACCTGTTCGCAACAGTCATGCCATACTTGATTTAGCTCCCAAAGTACTGTGGAAAGTAGGCTACAAATTGCCTTTCACAGCTTTTTGTAATTTTAACTTTTTTTTAAACATGTTTTTGTCAGTTTGGAACAGTTTGACTGCTGCCTACGGAGGAGCATCTACAAGAACAGATTTGAGATGACTTATGTGGGACTGGGTCAGGTACGTTTTGGTATTCACCACCTTCAGTTCAGAACGAAAGGGGGTCACTTCAGTTCACCTGACAGGAAAAGTTCTACTTGTGTCCTTGAGTTGTGGCTCACAGAGATTGTTGTATTGAGCTGCGCTTATCATCACACCACCCTCTGTGGACTCAACAGTTCTTCTCAGCCATGTCACTTGATTCCTTGCGGGTTGGAGGCTCTGTCTATCTAACTGAACAATGTCTCTCCAGGTGATTGTAAAGAACCTGTCCATAGGGATGCGGGTTGTGCTGAAGTCCCACTATGGCTATGAGATAGACGAGGTGAAGATCATGGGGAAGGACCGCAACCTGGTGACCCACACCTCTGATACCCTGCTACTGGGAGACCTGTCCTCCAACAAGCTCAGTGAGGTATGATGGTCTGGCCATTCACTGGCAGATAGGGGTTATTTTATATATGAATTGTGGCTAATCCTTCACTATGGTCATTATTTCTTCATTTGCAGACTAGAATTTGAAGTGAGCAGTTGGAAGTACTAGAAAACGAATGTCATTTCCCTCGCTGATTGGTGTCTATTGTAGGCCACCATCCCCTCCTCTGTGCGAAGTCTCAACATTAGGGCCAGAACAATAACCGTGTAACTAACGGTTATGGATGAAGTTCCAAGGACCTGTTTTAAAATGTTCTAATTAAAAGTTCAAGGGCTGTCATGGTTCAGTGTGCTAATCCCTGTTTAATTGAGAGTTTTCAAGGAGCCTTCCTACACTGGAGCTGGAGTGCTGATGTTGGAAATGACAGACATACACGATAACAGCCCTGGCCCTGGCTGCAGTATATGTGTGTGTAATATAGTGTAAGTCAGGGAGCGACTCCCACCGCGCTTCACCTCAGGTGAACAAAGACCCCTCTGCTGTTCTTTTTTCAGGTGGCATGGCAAGGCTCCGGGGGAATGAGAAATTCTTCTTTGAAAATGAAACGGTACGATTCCCTTCTTCTTTCCCTGTTTAGCTTTGTCTGCAGTTTTTATGTGCTGTTGTGAGGAGTTTTCAGCCGCTGCTATCCCAACTTATGAATAAGAAAATACACGTCATGCACCTGTTAACTGCCTGTCATTGCTTCTTCAACATAGGAATTCTGAATAGTCTCCTAGTAGGGAGGTAGGGAGTCAGCTGCTGACTGTGATGTGTTGTGTCAGATGTGTACAACGCTGGGGCGGACAACACTGGGGTGTACAACGCTGGGGCGGACAACACTGGTGGAGTACGGCAGCAACGACATCCTGGGATCAGTGAGAACTGAGTTCATGAACCCACATCTCATCAGGTTGGCTTTCACCCATTCTCCTCGTAATACATATTTTAGAGCATTTTATATAATAGACCTTTTTGCCAGTCTACTACAGTAATGTGAAGAATGGTCGCTAGGTGGTAGTGTTGAGCTTTGGTTGTAGATGACAGTCAGGCATACCTAGTTTGAATGCATAAGAAGGGAAGTGTTTTGCATACAGCTGTCAAGACAGTTTTTAGTGGACAAAGTTAGTCATTACAAATCCATCCTACTGTATTTAGGCTGTCAAGATTGTCAGATTGGAGTTATTTCTGTGCTAATGGTTGGAGGTTCAGGCTGGTATTAACATTCCTCCTCTGCTCCCCTATCTGTCTGCCTCACACTGTCTGCATCTCTAGTGTTCGTCTCAATGAGCGCAAACAGAAGGGGGTTGAAGACAGCAAAAAGTTAGCCTACCTGATTGACATCAAGACCATTGACATTGGTAAGTGTGTGTGTGGAAGGTGATGCTATGAATACGTATGATGCAGAGAGTATGCTCCCTGAAACCGAGGACATGAAGACATGATTTCTGTGCTGCAGAAATAATTTTTTTCTGGTCAAGGTCAAGCCAAGGTTATGACTGTGGTGCTTGTTGACTGTAACTTTTATTCTCAGGCCAAAGATACATGGACTTTGTTTTTTCCAGAAATGTAATAATAAATAACAAAATCTAGGCTATTACTATCTATTGAAGTTATTTGCATCCAACTTGCCTGTGTGAAGTAACTGCTAAATCTTTGAACTAAAAGTGTCTGCAACCTTCACTCCCAGCCCCAGTTCCAGCCCTCCATTCCACTCTTATTGTAGATAAATAGTGTCTAACACACAAAGACGCTGACTTGCCCCTTTTTGTGATGGATGATCCCCATTCATGTGGATTCAGGCGGGCGCTGCTTAGAGCAACTTGGTCCCCATGTTGCTTTAGGTATTGATTAGGTAAACGACTGTTTGATTGTAGCGGCCCCACACCATCCCCCTCTTCCCCCTCTCCTTCCCTCCCTCCCCTGGAGCAGCCTGAGACGCTGGGCCCTGTGAGGGCCAGTACAGAGGGATACTGAAACAAATGGGCATTTGCCGCTTTCTGAGAACGATGCCTTTCAATTAGGTGTTGACCCCACAGCGGGCCGGGCGTGCGGGGTGGCGGGCGGTGGTGTTGAGTCTGAATCACCGCCCAAGCTGCGCTGAGCTGAGCACCATCTGTCCAAGCCCTGTCCTTTTCCTGTGCTAATTAAGTCCAGGGATGTCCTTCTGTCGGCTGCCGAGCTGTTTTTTTTCTTCAGGTGGTGAAAATGAGAAACAACCTCCAACCAATTTATTTCTTCCCCTTGAATGACAGGAGCAGTTGTTGTTTTTTCTTGTTTTTTTTGCTCCCTCCCTCCCTCCCTCCCTCCCTCCCTCCCTCCCTCCCTCCCTCCCTCTCTCTCTCCCTCCCTCCCTCCCTCTCTCTCTCCCTCCCTCCCTCACTTTGTCAGTTGTGTACTTAAAACCTGCTCTGAAAGTGTAAATTGGAAAATGCTTTTTTAGCCATGTTTCTCAGAAGCTTAATTACAGAATAAAAGGCAAGCCAGGCCTCTCTGTCAAATGATTTATGAGAGAATCATAGATATGTTTGTTAGAATGGATGGATGCTGACTGAACATTGCCGTATTCATATTGCATCATGGCTTTGTTCTGTTAGCCCATCAGTCACAACATATCTTTATTTTATCTCTTGTCTCTAGCAGATGGATAGCGATATAATGTGTCTTTAAACGTGATACACCACCTCTCTCCTTAGTACAAACACTCTGGAGTTGAGAATGTTTTCTCTCTCTGTCTCGCTCTGCCGCCCATCAGTGATTGATACTATGGCCTACAGGCACAGCTCAGGTAATAATCTCCTCTCGCTCTCCCTCCCACTCACAGTGGATCTGGCCGGCGGTTACAACCTGAGAACCATCAGCCACGACTCCAAGATTGACTGGTTGGAGCTCAACGAGACGGGGCACAAGCTGCTTTTCAGGGACAAGAAACTGCGGGTGAGGCAGCAGCAGCAGCTCAAAGTAACGTGCTGCCTAGAGCTATGCCTGTTTGATGTGCTCGCTCTGGGGCAAAGGATGCCAAGCATTTTAATTGGGAATCTCTTCGGGAGCTTCTGACTGAAAAGTGACTAATTTTACTCATACACTGAGTGTAAAAAACATTAAGAACACCTTCCTAATATTGAGTTTCACCCCCCCCCCCCCCCTTTTGCCCTCAGAACAGCCTCAATTTGTTGGGGCATGGCCTCTACAAGGTGTCGAAAGCGTTCCACAGGGATGCTGGCCCAGGTTGACTCCAATGCTTCCCACAGTTGTGTCAAGTTGGCTGGAGGTCCTTTGGGTGGTGGACCATTCCTGATACACAGGGGAAACTGTTGAGCGTGAAAAACCCAGCAGCGTTGCAGTTCTTGACACAAACCTTTGCACCCGACACCTACTACCATACCCCGTTCAAAGGCAAATCTTTTGTCTTGCCCATTCCCCCTCTGAATGGCACACATACACAATCCATGTCTCAATTGTCTCAAGGCTTAAGAATCCTTCCTTAACCTGTCTCCTCCCATTCATCTACGCTGATTGAAGTGGATTTAACACGTGACATCAATAAGGGATCATAGCTTTCACCTGGATTCACCTGGTCAGTTTGTCATGGAAAGGTGTTCATAATGTTTTGTACACTCTGTGTATGTTTCGCTATGGTTTAGAATTTGTTGTAGATGACCCAGTAGACCTTGATTTTTTTGTTTTGAAAGGTGCATTACTGCTCTGATTTGAGTTTCTTTGAGTAACAGGCCTGTTTCATGTGTAATTCCTTGCATCACTGCCTAATCCTCTACACTTTCTAACTCTCCTCCCCTCTCTCCCTCCATCCCTCAGCTCCACCTGTATTTTACATTTTAGTCATTTAGCAGACGCTCTTATCCAGAGCGACTTACAGTTAGTGAGTACATACATTTTTCATACTGTATGACATGGAGAGCTGCGTTAAGACCACAGTGTTGAGTTTCTGCTCCTAAGTGCAGCGGGTTTCCGGCAGTGAGGTAACCTGTGTGTGTGGTACAACATCGACAGCCCAGAGAGAGCCACCATGTTCCCCCTCAGAGTGAGAGAGGGCAAGGGGGGAGCGAGAGAGGTCCTGGCCAACTCGTGCTACTGTTCCCACACAGTAGGCCAGCTGGCAAGGCCAAGCGTCACCTCGTGGCTGAACTACTGGGCTGACTCCACTACTTTCTGTTTATAGACCAGACCGTGAAGTTTAGTACCCACTTTAACCCAATGTGACCGACTGTGTGCTGCTCTTCTTTTTCACCCCCCAGCCATTCAGAAACATTCTTTCCTAATGCCTGTGTTCTCATTGGCCTCCTCTGTCTTGATGATTTGATTTGATTAGGCCTCAGAATGCAGAGCTATAAGGGCTGAGAACAGGGCTATTTAGCATCTCTGTGTCTCCAAAGGGGGATATAGTGGATCTGGAGAGGTCCAATGGTAAGACGGAAGTGATCGTGACTGAGGGGGTCAACACTGTGTCCTACACTTTGGACGAGGGCCTTATCGAGTTTGGAACAGCTATTGACGATGGAGTCTATTATAGGTTAGTATCTCTACCTTGTAAGAATGCAGTGGGTTTTTTTGCAATGCACAAAAGTGGCAGCTAGTGTCAAAAGAGAATGTATTACAATATATTACTGTACTTGTTGCTGAATTGGTTTTGATTAGATCCCTCATTGTGCAACATCCATGCAAGGGCGGAATTCATGTGGGTTTAAAATGGAACTGTTTTGGTATGCATTCCACACTCATTTTGAAAGAAGTGCTTTGTCGCCTATTTGAAGTGTATATAGTCTATTTCGACAACCAGAAACTTTTTTTGCTTGGCCAAACAGTCACCGTATAGCTTCAAAAATAATGATGTGATTCTGTTGAATCTGTTTTTACTTTAATCTTTCTTTGTGGATCGTCCTGCTGTGTGTTGTCACTGTGGATCGTCCTTCTTTGTGTTGTCACTGTGGATCGTCCTGCTGTGTGTTGTCACTGTGGATCGTCCTGCTGTGTGTTGTCACTGTGGATCGTCCTTCTGTGTGTTGTCACTGTGGATCGTCCTGCTGTGTGTTGTCACTGTGGACCGTCCATCTTTGTGTTGTCACTGTGGATCGTCCTGCTGTGTGTTGTCACTGTGGATCGTCCTGCTGTGTGTTGTCACTGTGGACCGTCCATCTTTGTGTTGTCACTGTGGATCGTCCTGCTGTGTGTTGTCACTGTGGATCGTCCTGCTGTGTGTTGTCACTGTGGATCGTCCTGCTGTGTGTTGTCACTGTGGATCGTCCTGCTGTGTGTTGTCACTGTGGATCGTCCTGCTGTGTGACTCACGTGTTTGTGTGTGTGTCTCTTCCTCAGAGCCACAGCGTTTCTGGAGATGTCGTCAGAGACGGAGGCCATGTGGAAAACTCTGAGCAAACTGTCCCTGGAGGCCCGCCAGCTCCACATCGCAGAGAGGTCAGCACAGTTGGGGGCCACACACACACACACACACACACACACACACACATGCCATTGTGTGTCCCCCAAGGGTGCTCAGCAACACTAGGCTTATCTTCTAATGCAGTCCTTTCTATACCCCTCCCTCCCTCCCTCCCTCCGTTTTAACTTCTGAAAAGTGACTTGTTTCCTGTGAAGATGTTTAGCTCGGAGCAGCCCCATCACCTCAGTGTTTTTCTGAGCTGTGTGTGCGTTACTGGGGGGCAGAAATAGTACAAAGCCAAGCAGATCACTCAGAGCTGAGAGTACCCTGTAGTACTCATGTAGAAGGATGTGTCCCTGACTAGAAAAGTATCTCTCTTAATAGGACACTTAGCTTAAGTAAGCACCACCAGAGCAAGTTTTTGTGATTTTTCCCTTTTATAAGCGTTTTATTTGTATTTTTGGGAGGTGAAAGTTAGATTTGACTGTAGCATGGCATCAATAATGCAACTAGCATTTGTTATGTATGGGGTTTGATTTGTATAAATGCAGGAAAAAACTGTTTTGTCTGGAGAGGAGAATGTAAATGAAGGAGGGTGGTTTGCTAAAAAGAGATGCTCAGCTCCTCTTTTGATGGCGAACGCAGCTTATTAGTGTGATGCACCTTCTCTGAAAGAGCTGGTAATACAGCTGGCCCAAGTTAGAAGCCATTGAAACATTATTGTGTTAACCCTGGCACTGGAGCATGGCTAAAGGCTGTTGTTTTAGAGGTTTAAGAGTTTTTATCTGTAAACATTTGTTTTTGCTGCACCCTCAGTGTCCCTTAAGCCATTTTTTGGTGTTTATTTTAGGTGCTTTGCTGCCTTGGGGGATGTCTCCAAAGCTCGCTTTCTGAACGAGACTAACAAGATCGCTGATCAAGTCTCAAAGGAATACGTACGTACTGTAGTGTGTGTTGGTCTCTCCCCTGAGTAGTGATGGAGGCTCTAGTTTGGGTCCGCTTGAGTGCTCCGTTGGAGGCAACCCAATCCAGGTGTCCCATCTGGGGCCACAAGGCTGAGCCCTGGGCGTCTGTTGGGGACCCTGTGTGGGTCTCTATGGCCCCTGGAGTGTGGGCAGCCGGCACACTGGCACCCCCCAGCCTGGCACCCCTGTCTGCACAGCTGTTCCCTGGCTGGCCAGGCCATTCAATCAATCCATTACATCACTCAACTCCGCTGGGCTATTAAACCCCACTTATACTTATCACACACACCTCCAGCACCTACCTGTTAGCCATTGTTGCAGGGGCCTGCTAGCTAATGCACAACAGTCTGCACCAGTCTGCTAGAAACAACATTCCATTTAGTTGATCTTACCTGTATGTGATACTTGTCTTGTGTAATCTCCAGGGTGGTGATGGTACAGAGTTCTACCAAGTCAAAGCACGCCTTGCCATGCTGGACAAAAACTACAAACTGCAGAGATGTACTATATGGAGCAGGTAAGAGAACATGAATCTGGAGAGTTTGGTCTGAGACTTGCAGAGACTCCCAGCCTCATATATAATGAAGTGTTGTCGTGTGCTCTGTAGAATGCCATTGATGAGGTGATGGAGATGTATCAGGAGCTTCACATGTGGGACGACTGCATCGCTGTGGCTAAGGCCAAGGTAAACCAATACTGAGAGACTGTGGAGTACTCTGTAGTACCCAGGACATCAGCTATTTACAAAAGCCCAATACAATACTTTTTGAAACAGTAAAACATGGACCTTGAACTAGACTCACAGTCTCTGTGTCTTCCCAGGGCCTCCCAGAGCTGGACAACCTGGGTCGCAGCTACTACCAGTGATTGATGGAGACCAACCAGGATGAGAAGGCTGGCGAGTTCAAAGAGGGGGAGGAGGACTTCAAGGGTGCCATCAACCTCTACCTCAAGGCGTGCCTACCAGCCAAGGCCGCCCGATTGGCTATGAGCCGTGAGGAGCTGGTCTCCAACATTGACATCATCAATAGAATCGCTGCTGCCCTCACCAAGGGAGAGTTCTACGAGAGGGTGGGTGTCATGACAGCTGCAAAGTCACACAGCGAACTCATTGGCTGCTATTTACATTACACTAGGCTTCTTCAAGACAACATTGCTTATCTTCCAGCGACAGAGGAAAAGTCTTAATGAAATGAGATTAGAGGTTGTTTAGATCCCCTCTCATGTGCTCCTAATGGAGAAGTTCTGAGTGAATCGGCTTGATTGTCTGGCAATGTGATTTGTGTGTGATAGAGAAGTTGGCTTGTCTTTTGTGAGGCAGCAGAAGTTGGTGCAGAGAGAGACAGATGTGCAGTGTTCTAGCTCTGTGTACACCGTAAGTCTCGGTGCTGATTAAGATCTTACTCAGGGCCATAGATGACTCTCATCGGAACAGATGTCAGGGAAGGTGTCTGTGCGTCTTAATAAAGGATGTGCTGGGAGGGATGTTAGTCAGCCCTCTGTTTTCTCTCTCTCGATCTCTCTGTCTCTCTCTCTCTCTCTCTCTCTCTCTCTCTCTCTCTCTCGCTCTCTCTGTCTCTCTCTCTCGCTCTCTCTGTCTCTCTCTCTGTCTCTCTCTCGCTCTCTCTGTCTCTCTCTCTGTCTCTCTCTCGCTCTATCTGTCTCTCTCTCTCTTGCTCTCGCTGTCTCTCTCTGCTCTTGAACCATCTGGTTATGGACCAGAGGTCCTGAGGTGCTGTAAGTGACTAAATGAGAGGGAGGAAGTTGAGCTGAAACTAAGTAACTTTCCTCTCTCCTATTATCAGGCAGGAGATCTGTTTGAGAAGATCAGGAACAACCAGAGGGCTCTGGACTGCTACCGCTAGGGCAACTCCTTCAGGAAAGGTAGGCCTGACACAGCACTGGGAGGTTGATATATTAATTAACATCACCTATTGGGTAGTGGTTGGGACAAGTTAATGGCCTAATCTTTATGTTGTTGATGGTGGGTTTTATACTGGTTTAGAGAATGAATTGTAAACTGTATTGATGTGAATGTAACTGTGACGTCTTTCCCTGAGCGTAGCTGTGGAGCTGGCTCGTGTTGCCTTCCCAGCTGACGTGGTGAAGCTGGAGGAGGCCTGGGGAGACTACCTGGTCCAGCAGAAACAAATGGACGCTGCCATCAACCATTACATTAAGACTGGGTGAGTCAGCACTGCTGTCTGCCCATCAGTTAATACAAGGAGGGAGGGAGAGAGAGGGAGGGGGAGAGGCATAGAGAATGAGGGAGTGATATAGAGAGAGATAAGGAAAGAGATCAAAGGAGTGGGAGACAGGATGAGTTGGTGTGAGGGGTTTGTTTATAAATTGAAGTGAATTATTAATTTCCTGTGTAATCAAATGGAGGTGTTGTTCATTAGGCAGCGCCGGGGCTCCAGTCCCCAGGGTAGGCTGCTTTAGATAGCACACTGGATGCTCATTGGATGGCTAGCCCTCTGTTAATACTGTGGTGGTCTGACTGGCATAATGGGCGATGAACACAGCCTCATTCCAACTGTTCTGATGAGTCAGGGGCCTAGCAACCTGGCAGCTGGCGATGGTCTGGCGTCAGACTCCATGCTGCCTCTGTGCTGCGTGAGCAGCATGTTTGCAGAATTTAATTAAAGTATCGATGCAGTACTTTGAGAGCTGGAATCCACAGAAATTAATGTATCTCTCTCTCTGTGGGAACCCAGGTCGTAGAGCCCCTGTTTGTGAAGGGAGACCACATCAAAGATGCCATTGAAATGTACACGGTGGCTTGGAGGTGGGAGCAGGCTCATAAGGTATGTATCCTCCTCAATGTCCCATCTCGTCATCTGGCTCGCCCAGTTTAAATTGGCAGGGGGTTGATTGAAATGGAAAACACTGCTGTGCTTTCTATGTTTAGTTGTAGCGGGCCTGTGTGTTCTTTTAAAGTGGGATTTGGAGTGAATTGGAGTGAGAATCAAAGTGAGTTAAAGTGAGCTGGCTACATACACACAAATCAAAATCAAATCAAATTGTATTTGTCACATGCTTCGTAAACAACAGGTGTAGACTAACAGTGAAATGCTTACTTTCCAATAACGCAGAGAGAAAAATATAACAACTTATAGAAATATAATAACACGAGCAATAAATACACAATGAGTAACGATAACTTGGCTATGTACACGGGTATCAGTACACACACACTCACACACAATCATTGTGTGTCCTAGCTGTCCTAGCTGGCAGCGAAATGTATGACCCCGGAGGACGTGTCGGCTCTGTACATCAGGACCTGGAGGGAGAGGGGAATACAAGGAGGCAGAAAGGTAACCTCTACCTCTCTCTCATGACCCTGTAAAACAACACATTTCACTGCACCTATCCTGTGTATGTGACAATGAAACATATCTTATTTTCTTTCCACTCCCTCTCTCTTCCTCTCCTCTCCCTCTCTCTTCCTCCCCACTCCCTCTCTCTTCCGCTCCACTCCCTCTCTCTTCCTCCCCACTCCCTCTCTCTTCCTCCCCACTCCCTCTCTCTTCCTCCCCACTCCCTCTCTCTTCTCTCCCCTCCCTTCTCTTTCCTCCCCACTCCCTCTCTCTCTCCTCCCCACTCCCTCTCTCTCTCCTCCCCACTCCCTCTCTCTTCCCTCCACTCCCTCTCTCTTCGCTTCATCTCCCCTCTCCCCACTCCCTCTCTCTTCCTCCCCACTCCCTCTCTCTTCCTCCCCACTCCCTCCTCTCTCTTCCGCCCCACTCCCTCTCTCTTCCGCCCCCCCCTTCTCTTTCCGCTCCACTACTCCTCTCTCTTCCTCCCCACTCCTCTCTCTTCCTCCCTCCCTCCCTCTCTCTCTTCCTCCCCACTCCCTCTCTCTTCCTCCACTCCCCCTCTCTCTTCTCCTCCACTCCCCCTCTCTCTTCTCCTCCACTCCCTCTCTCTTTTCCCCTCCATTCCCTCTCTCTTCCGCTCCAACTCCCTCTCTCTTTCCGCTCAACTCCCTTCTCTTCTTCCTCCCCACTCCCTCTCTCTTCCTCTCCTCCCTCCCTCTCTCTTCCTCTCCACTCCTCCCTCTCTCTTCCTCTCCCTTCCCCCATCCCCTCTCTCTTCCTCCCACTCTCTCTCTCTTCCTCTCCACTCCTCTCTCTTCCTCTCCACTCCCTCTCTCTTCCCGCTCAACTCCCTCTCTCTTCCCTCACTCCCTCTCTCTTCCTCCCCCCTCTCTCCCTCCTCTTCTCTTCCTCCCACTCCCTCTCTCTTCCTCCCACTCCCTCTCTCTTCCTCCTCCACTCCTCTCTCTTTCCCCCCTCCCTCTCTCTTCCGCTCCACTCCCTCTCTCTTCCTCCCACTCCCTTCTCTTCCTCCCCACCTCCCTCCCTCTCTCTTTCCTCCCCACTCCCTCTCTCTTCCTCTCCACTCCCTCTCTCTTTCCGCTCCACTCCCTCTCTCTTCCTCCCACTCCCCCCCTCTCTTCCTCCCCACTCCCTCCCTCTCCCCTTCCTCCCCACTTCTCCTCTCTCTTCCTTCCCCCCACTCCCTCTCTCTTCCGCTCCACTCCCTCTCTCTTCCTCCCTCACTCTCTCTTCCTCCCCCTCCTCCCTCTCTCTCTTCCTCCCCACTCCCTCTCTCTTCCTCACTCCCTCCCTCCTTCTCTTCTTCCCCTCCCCACTCCCCCCTCTCTTCCTCCCCTCCATCCCTCTCCTTCCTCTCCACTCCCTCCTCTTCTTTCCGCTCCTCCCTCTCTCTTTTCCTTCCTCCCCCCCTTCCTCCCCCTCCCTCTCTCTTCCTCTCCCACTCCCTCTCTCTTCCTCTCCTCCCTCCCTCTCTCTTCCTCTCCACTCCATCCCTCTCTCTTCCTCCCCACTCACTCTCTCTTCCTCTCCACTCACTCTCTCTTCCTCTCCATTCCCTCTCTCTTCCGCTCAACTCCCTCTCTCTTCCGCTCAACTCCCTCTCTCTTCCTCCCCACTCCCTCTCTCTTCCTCTCCACTCCCTCTCTCTTCCTCTCCACTCCCTCTCTCTTCCTCTCCACTCCCTCCCTCTCTCTTCCTCTCCACTCCATCCCTCTCTCTTCCTCCCCACTCACTCTCTCTTCCTCTCCACTCACTCTCTCTTCCTCTCCACTCACTCTCTCTTCCTCTCCACTCCCTCTCTCTTCCTCTCCACTCCCTCCCTCTCTCTTCCTCTCCACTCCATCCCTCTCTCTTCCTCTCCACTCACTCTCTCTTCCTCTCCACTCCCTCTCTCTTCCTCTCCACTCTTCTTCTTTTCATCTCTCCCTCCCTCCCTATTATTCATTACCCCCCTCTGTTTTACATCCGTATCGACCACAACCCTGCTGCCAAATGAATGATGGATTTTATCACGTCAAAGGCTAAGTTTTCCGACATTGGGTTATAGGGCCCTGCTTATATTTCACTCACATCCAGAAAATTGTCGGTTGCAGTTCAGGTCAAGGTCCTACTACAACAAATTGACAAACAAAAGTGTTCAATTGTCGTGCACTGAGAGCAAATTGGACTTTAATCAGGTGCTCTGGCTGTGCTGTGTTGTGACGATCCCCAGCCTATCTCTCTGCCTCTAAAGAAGCCTGTGTCTTTACATATTAGACAGAGTAATCTCCCTCACACGCTGCCAGTCTGCCACAAAGTCAATATGTCACCACGTGCCCCCAACTCTGTCATCTCAATACTTGCCTCTCTTATTGATCTCTCCTGTGAAAAATGTGGAGCAACATTCATCAGTAAAGGGCAACTTCATTTTGTGAGAAGAAATTGTATTTTCTTCTCATGCCTAATTTGCAGTTTATGTAATCAGAGATTGAATCATTCTTCATCTCAGTGCATAGCAATGCAGTCAGACCTGTGTGTGTGTGTGTGTGTGTGTGTGTGTGTGTGTGTGTTTGAACGTGTGTGTGTGCGTGCATGCCTGGAATATCGGCAGGCTGTTTGCGACAGGCCAGTGGAGGAGCCGGACTTGGCCATCACCATGTATAAGAAGAACAAGATGTTTGACGACATGATTCGCCAGACATCACCCAGACCTGTTGGCTGAGACTCACCTGCACCTGGCTATGGTCAGCGATAGGGGGCGCTGTCTAAAGAGAAAATATAAACATCTTATAGGGATCATTTTGAAAAAATCTTATCAGAGGGTCTCAAGGTGATTTAGATTAGCCAGGAAAACCAGGTTCCCTAATCTCTATTTCAGGAGTTGGAGATAGAGTCCAGGTTTTCGGAAGCGGATTACCAGTATATGGAGGGCCAGGAGTGGAAGGCTGCAGTCAACATGTACCGTGTCAACGACATGTGGGAGGAGGCCTACAGGGTATGTGTCCACATCACTAACAAAGTTAACCTGAGAGAGTGAGTGTCTGTCAACAGCAGGACTGTGTGATTGTGACACCCCTGGCTTGGCCTGTTATGCTGTATCAAGGACAGTGGTCTGTGCTAACAGACAGAGCAGAAGGAGCACAGGGTGGATGTGTTACACTGCAAGACCTCTCACAGGCCTCCTAACATTCTCTCTAAAAACATAATCACCTGGCTGCAACTATGCTACTTCTGCTCCCTCCTTTCAGGCCCGCCATTGGACCAATATAGAGGCACATCCTCTTTATTTAACACTCAGTTGTACAATTATTTATTAAGGGCTCCAGTAGAAAAAATTCAATTTATCTAGCTCTCTCTACAGCTCTCTCTCTGTATGTAGCTGTTTCGCTCTCTCTTGCTCTTCTCCGTGCTGTGAGAGGCACGTGAGGTGATTGTTGGTGGGAGCTTCTGGCATGTTAATCAGTTGTTCCTGCTCCTCTTCCCCTGTGTGTGTGTGTGTGTGTGTGTGTGTGTGTGTGTGTGTGTGTGTGTGCGCGTGGCAGGTGGCGAAGAGCCATGGGGGAGCCAGTGCCCATAAGCAGGTGGCCTACCTGTGGGCCAAGAGTCTGGGAGGGGAGGCTGCCGTCAAACTGCTCAACAAGTTTGGTCTGCTGGAGACCGCCATCGACTTTGCAGCAGACAACTGGTGAGTAGATCAATGCACTGGACTGCACTTTACTGTACTGTACTGCCTGGAACCTCTTCAATATCGCTGTGATGAAGAATCTTTCTGCAGTTAAATTCTGATCACTGGGAGGTACTTGATGAAGTATCTGATGTATCTGTTCTGTGATTTACACAATACCAAGCCTATCTTATATTGCACAACATGTTCGAATTTGAAAACATTTTGTTAATAGTCCGAAGCATTCAACAAGACATAAGCTATTAAGCCCTTCCCCATTCATTCCTATGACAAGAGTCAATATTGATGCAGTAGCTCTGTAACCTTGTAGAGGAGACTGTGGTCATGACTCTTCTCTTGTCCTCTCTCAGCTCCTTTGCCTTTGCCTTTGAACTGGCTCGTCTCTCCACCAAGAACAAGATCCCTGAGATCCACCTGAAAAACGCCATAATGCTGGAGGATGAGGTATAATACCACATCTTATACAATTCCAACGTACACACACACAGACACGCGCTCACACACACACACACAAACACACACACACACACACCACGTCCAACTCCTACTCATCCTCACAATCACACACTCATTGTCACTCAAGGTTACACTGCAGGTTGCATCATATCAAAGATTAATTAAAATGTTCTCCGTTGCCGGCCCAAATTTGTGTCTGAGCGCCGTGGTTCTGCAGCCATTAAATGTCACGTATGCATTATTAATCCCTCCAACGCCGAGCACTGAGCTGTGATATTGTTTCATTTTTCAAGGGCAAGTTCGCCGAAGCCAAGACAGAGTTCATCAAAGTGGGGAAACCAAAAGAGTGCAGATGTAGGTATATCAGGAGGAGTTTTTCTTCGCCACCTAGCAAGTGGTGCCGGCATGTGTCCCCTACAGAAGTCAGAGCTTCAAGCCTTCCTGAGTAGACTTCAAAAGGAGCGCCGGTGCCAGCACAGCTCATGCCTCTTCCACTTCAGAACTTCCCCTCACTTCTCTGTACATTGGTTATAGACCACCTAATAAGTGTGTTAGATGATGTGGTGCAGGCAGGCAGGTTTGGAGGGGAGCTCAGCTCTCACACACACGTAGCAGAGTAGCTGAGGAACACTCAACCCTGTTCTCTTACGGTGAGGGAAAAAAGTATTTGATCCCCAAGATCAAAGAGCTCTCCAAGGATGTCAGGGACAAGATTGTAGACCTACACAAGGCTGGAATGGGCTACAAGACCATCGCCAAGCAGCTTGGTGAGAAGGTGACAACAGTTGGTGCGATTATTCGCAAATGGAAGAAACACATAAGAACTGTCACTCTCCCTCGGCCTGGGGCTCCATGCAAGATCTCACCTCGTGGAGTTGCAATGATCATGAGAACGGTGAGAAATCAGCCCAGAACTACACGGGAGGATCTTGTCAATGATCTCAAGGCAGCTGGGACCATAGTCACCAAGAAAACAATTGGTAACACACTACGCCGTGAAGGACTGAAATCCTGCAGCGCCCGCAAGGTCCCCCTGCTCAAGAAAGCACATATACAGGGCCGTCTGAATGATTCAGAGGAGAACTGGGTGAAAGTGTTGTGGTCAGATGAGACCAAAATCGAGCTCTTTGGCATCAACTCAACTCGCTGTGTTTGGAGGAGGAGGAATTCTGCCTATGACCCAAGAACACCATCCCCACCGTCAAACATGGAGGTGGAAACATTATGCTTTGGGGGTGTTTTTCTGCTAAGGGGACAGGACAACTTCACCGCATCAAAGGGATGATGGACGGGGCCATGTACCGTCAAATCTTGGGTGAGAACCTCCTTCCCTCAGCCAGGGCATTGAAAATGGGTCGTGGATGGGTATTCCAGCATGACAATGACCCAAAACACACGGCCAAGGCAACAAAGGAGTTGCTCAAGAAGAAGCACATTAAGGTCCTGGAGTGGCCTAGCCAGTCTCCAGACCTTAATCCCATAGAAAATCTGTGGAGGGAGCTGAAGGTTCGAGTTGCCAAAACGTCAGCCTCGAAACCTTAATGACTTGGAGAAGATCTGCAAAGAGGAGTGGGACAAAATCCCTCCTGAGATGTGTGCAAACCTGGTGGCCAACTACAAGAAACGTCTGACCTCTGTGATTGCCAACAAGGGTTTTGCCACCAAGTACTAAGTCATGTTTTGCAGAGGGGTCAAATACTTATTTCCCTCATTAAAATGCAAATTAATTTAACATTTTTTTGTTTTTCTGGATTTTGTTGTTGTTATTCTGTCTCACTGTTCAAATAAACCTACCATTGAAATTATAGACTGATCATGTCTTTGTCAGTGGGCAAACGTACAAAATCAGCAGGGGATCAAATACTTTTTTCCCTCACTGTATATCGAGGTGGAGTTGAGTTTTGATAACTGGTCGCGTGATTTGCTTTGTTTGTCCTGTACAACTGCGGTCCTTCTGTGGGGTGCTGAAATTCATACTTTTAATAAAAACTTTTAGAAAATACAACCTCAGAATTTTTCCTCGTTGCTCGTAAGCTGAGATTCAATTAAGTCTGTGCTATCCGGTATCCTTGGGATGTCCCTACCCCATTAAAGTTTACATTTTAAATGGTAAGGGTTAAGGTTACGGTTGGGGTTAAGTTATTGTTAGGGTTTAGGGTAGGGACGTCCCAAGGCTCCCGGATAGCACAGACCCAATTGAATCTCAGTTTATGTAGTACGAGCAATGAGGGAAAAGTCGGTGATTGTATTCGCTAAAAGTTTTTATTCAAGTATGAATTTCAGCACCCCGCGGAAGGACCACAGTTGTACAGGACAAACATAGGTACAGGTAAGCTTTTTCAGAATTGACATTTTTACAAGAATCGACTGATGGTGGCACAACTACCTCTCGATATAAGATAACGGCGTTGAGCATTCCTCAGCTAGTAGCAGAGGAACTGGAGCCCTGTCACTGAGCCTGTTTGATCTCTGTATCCTGTAGAGGGTATAGGATGGGAGATAACTGTACTGTAGACAGACCTACAGTATTAGAGCTACTGGAAGATAACACAATTAGTGTAAAAACTAGTGACACATTGTCTAGTTAATATCAACTGGAGCTGGAGCACTTTAATCTGTGAATATCAAGTATTTTAGAGAGTGTTTGCTGTCTTCAATCTGATAAATAAAAAACTTGAACTATAACAAAATGAAGAGGGAGGTTAACTCACAGCCTGGTGTGTCCCTTACAGGTACGTTCATAACCAGGACTGGGTTGGAGCCCAGAGGGTGGCGGAGGCCAACGACCCAGACTGTGTGTCAGATGTGCTGGTGGGCCAATTTCTGTTTTGAACAGAAGGACTTTCAGAAGGCTGACGCCTTCCTTCTCAGGGCTCAGAAGCCAGAGCTGGTCATCAAGTACCACAAAGTAAGACACTGTCTTTATGTTTGAACTGGGCAGAACTGACACTCCAGACTCCTAATTGACAGTCAGGAGCTGACAGGGTTGGTTTGAAAGAGGACTTTGGAGATGTGAATGAATCAAACCATTTGACTCAGATTGTCCTCAGTGAGGTTTAATACTTAAAATCAGGAATTATCTCTGTCACCAAAAAAAGAAACTGTTAGATTTATGCAAGAAGCCACAGTGATTATATAGTGAGCCTTCATCATTCTTAATCAGAGGGTTCATATTCTAGTCAATTCATTATTCTCTGTGTTCTGAAGCTTTACAGAGAATACTACAAGTTAAACAGAATGCAATGCTCCGTAATGTTTTCATTCCATAATTCACACTGTTCGTTTGGCTGGATGTGCTTCACAGAGTTTGGTGCCCCCGGGTACTGAGTGCTGTTGTTGTTGTTGGTGTTTTGTTGTTGTTTTAGGACGTGGAGAAGTGGAGTGATGCCATGCAGAACTGTAAAGAGTACCTGCCCAACAAGCTGAGCATCCTCCAAGAGGAGTATGAGAAGGAGGGTGCCAAGAAGTGCTCCCGGTGAGCAAGACACTTACACACACTCCAACAACATCTGTGTTTTTACATCACTTTTTCCTGGTTATTATCACTTTTTTAACTTGTTTGTTTGTGGCTTTGGCGAGGCAGAGAAAACGGGTTTCACCGTTACATGTTAACAGAGAAGGAGAAGAAAGAAACGGTCATGTACACACTGTGGTGTCGTGGTCTGTTATTCATCTGTATGTGCATTGGGTCGATGCGTTATTAAACATTGGCAGCGTTTTATCCTGAATGAAATCAGCTCATTATAGTGCAGACACGCAGCGCCTCCATCCGTCTCCAACCATCAGCTCCCTGCTTTTTAATGACTTGTGGGAAAAGATCAAAGCCTCCGTCAAAAAGAAAGGGGGGAAAAAGAAAGTGAGACATTTATTCTGCAGTTTTTAGTTCAGTTCCTAATTGAGAGTAATTCAGCCCTCTGATACTGTCAATCATGCTCAGTTGAGAGCCAGAACTCTCTAACACATGTTGCCTTTCACTTTGACTCGTTTCTGTCTTTAACATCACAAGGGTTGAGTTTGTAACGCAGTGGAGGAGAGAGAGAGAGATACGATTTTAATGAGAGAAGTGTGCACTGTGTATTCTTGTATTTGCCTTTCGAAGCCTTAATCATTAATCGCAGACAGACATGTACAGTATTCTGTCTGTTCTTAGAATGGGCTTCCAAGTCTTATGTTCTAGTTCTGTTATTCCCTTCACTTCCATCTGGTCCATTAATCACCAATGCGTCTCAGTTATAGCTAATTCATAGTGCCAAGGAGGACATGTAAATGTCTTACTGATGGTGTGTGGGTGTATGTTCTCTGTCTGTGTACAGTGGGGTGGAGGGCATGGTGGAGCAAGCCAGGGAATGGGAGCAGTCTGAGGAGTACACCTGGGCCGTTGAGTGTTACCTCAAGGTCAAGGACTCCACCAACGTCCCCCTCATGGAGAAGTGCTGGATGAAGGTACACAATGGAGCCCCAGGACTGTCAATGAATGTCACTATAGCATAACCCACACATGCTGTCCTTACAAACCGACTGCTGTAGTTTCACTTGTGTTTCTGTGTATGAGACAAGCCTCTATCTGTGGCCCTGGATGTACGGTTGTGCCACTTCATATTTCCTGTGTGTTTCTGTGCCACTATCTGTGGCCCTGAGCATAGTGCCTCAATGTGTTGTGTGTATGACCTCCTCCAGGCTTCTGAGTTGGCAATCAAGTTCCTGACCCAGGAGAGGGCTGTGGATGTGATCCACGCTGTGGGCCCTCGCCTCACCCAGTTCAGGAAGTACAGTGCTGTGAGTCACCACTCACTTCCTGCTGTGGATCCCTCAATACTAACAGCTTCTTGATATTGATCATTCCGTGTTATTTTGTACATGCGTGGTTTTAGGCTACTGTATGTCAACTGGTATGTGGAAATTCTATTTAAGTAAATACAGCAATTTCATGCTATTTAGAATGTTTATTCATATTGATTTGACATGGAGTGTAGAAGACAGGTATCCAATCAAAGATTGCATTGACGGGACCATTATGTGCCTGTTCATAGCTAGTCTTGAACAAATACAGTATGAATGTTCATCTTTCACTCCTTCAAAATGTTTGAGGTCAAATATCAATTTCGTCTTTTAGAAATATTCTGTGAAAAAGATTTAGGGGACATAACTACATTCAGCAACAGCTTTTATCAATCTAAAGGTGTGGAGGTCGCTCTGCCAACGGAAAGCGAGGGTTTTGATGCGAGTGTGTTGATAGAAAAAGACAAGGCATCCCATGTTTTATGCCTATTCTCTGGTGTCCTTCAAGCATTCTTTTGAGATGCCAAATGTATTATTTTCCTCAGGCGGCTGAGCTGTACCTCAACCTGGACCTAATTAAGGAAGCCATAGATGCATTCATCGAGGGAGAAGAATGGAACAAAGCCAAGAGAGTGGCCAAGGAGCTGGATCCAAGGTGAGCCTGTCTACAACGCTGCCTGGTTGCCCCTGACAACAAGCCTATCCAGCTAGAATACCCCCTCTGTCATTAGGCTACAGCTAGGGGAAATCACACAGTGTGTCAGTCAGAGGCCTCACAGGCATCAGTCAGCTGCTGCTGCCTCTAAAAACCAGCGAGACAGAGGGAGATTTAGTGAATGGGATTCGATTCCTTTAATCTATTCTGTATGTTGCATTATAGTCATTTAGGATCTCATCCAGAGTGAATGACAGTACCTAACTAGTTAATGTGGTTATTTATTTTTATTTTATTTTTGTCAAAGTCAATTTTATTAGACAATGTGTTTTTCTCATTCACATGGCTGTTGTCATGTTTGACTTAGCTTTGTCTCAACATCCCTGCTTGTTTCAGAGCCTTTATAACGCATATATAATCAACTGCTGTGCTGTCTGTCTGGAGAACAGAACAGACTCCTTCACACAATGAGAGCTGCTGATGCTCCATAGGCTCCCACTTATTACTGTTGTCCTTTAGTATAGTACATTTGTGTTGTGATTTATCTATCTGGGGAGTAGTACATGGTGGCATTGCTTTCATATACTCCAGCTCCTGAACACAGTCATTATAGTACATAATAGAGGACAATGAAGGATATTTAACTTTTCTTCTGCATTGTGTGTCTATCCTAACTATTCATGTAGGTTTGAAGATTATGTGGACCAGCGATACAAAGAACACTTGAAAAACCAAGGCAAAGCTTATTAGGTAAGTAGCTACAATTTAAAGTAACTACGTATTGCAAATAATAAGCCAATTTCTAAGTAATACTTACTCAGCAAGTACAGTATAACTTGCAATATTATATGTATATAATGTTATTAAAAAAATAAGCTTTTGATTTCAGTTGAGAATCAGAAAGGGTAGTGTCAGTGTCATTTTGCGGTGGTGTACTATAAGATACCTTGCATGTCACAGTGTGTACCCACCTCTAATTCCTCAACTCTCTCCTCCTCACCTCCTCTTTCTCTGCTCCCCGACTGTTGGGAGGAGATCATTGAAATGGTTGCCTAGATTCCATCCACTCAGAAATAAGAGCTGAATAACAGAATTGATCCAGATTCCCAGTCCTTCCTCTCTTTGTTATACCACATCAGAATGGCTCAGTGGCTCTGACTTCTCTAGTTGAATGATGATGAAAAAGTCCCGCCTGTGAAATGTGAATGGCAGATTTGGAAGAACGTGTCGCTCCATGTGTATTGTTTGCATAATGCACCAAAGACCTCATAATGTGCGTGTTTGTAACCATCAAGCTAGTTTTAAAAGCATGTTTCAAAGTTTCTGGAAGCTAGCTATTACAAGGCTTCCATTGCCTTGTAAAACTACTGAAAGGCTTCCATTGCTTTTTGTAGTAGTTTTTCTGTAAGTGTATACCATCAATTAGTAATTTGTGATCTTCTCTAATCCTAGCTGATAGGAGTGGATGTCATGGCAGCTCTGGACATGTATACTGAGAGAGGCAAATGGGAGAAGTGCATTGAGATCGCCTCTAAACAGGTAGTGACTCTACCATCAACACTCCTGCTTTAGTATCATTGTCTTTCATCCTTTTCATTGTATTTTCACAGTTTTATTCCATTACTGTTTTTCTTTTTAATATTTGTAGAGTTACAAGATTCTTCACAAGTATGTGGCCCTGTACGCCACCCACCTGATCAAGGAGGGAGATGCAGAGAAGGCCCTGAACTTGTATGCCCCGCATGGCGCCCCAGCCAACCCCCCAGAACTTCAAAATCTACAAGAGGATGTTCCTGGACCTGCTGAGCCTGCTGGGTAGACACAGCGCTGAGTCAGTAACAGGTCAGAACGTACTGTATAGTGACCACACGTATTGTCCCTGTGTGTAGTTGCTATGTAATGACAGTTTAAGGTAGTGACAGTTTTTTATAGTCTCGTTGTCTATCTGTTTGCAGTGTGAGAACCTGACCAAGTCTTCGGAGGCCAACTCTCCTGCCCACGAAGAGTTTGAGCAGATGCTGATCTCGCACTACTACGCCACGTGATCCGCTGCCACGGGGGTTGACCAACTGTACATTCACCTGCTTTTTCCATGACATAGACTGACCAGGTGAATCCAGAGCTGATCCCTTATTGATGTCACTTGTTAAATCCACTTCAATCAGTGTAGATGAAAGGAGAGGAGCAGTGTTTCCGCTCCACTCATTTTGCTGTGGCGCTGCACCACGGAAAAATAATTGCCGCCACTATGGAATATGGAACATGAAAAAAACATTTCTGCTGAGGGGCACTTTAAAGATGCTAGAACAGTCCACATTTACTTTTCCTCTGCAAACAAAACGAGTAATTGATAGATAAAGTTACAGGACGAGTGCCATAGGGAGGAAAACATGCATTCTGACAAGCAGTCAATGCACAACAATTCTTGCAATTGCAAAAACAGCAGTTTTAATGGCCTTTGTTAAAAAGAGGGGGATCCCAGCTTTCCATTCCTACTTTATTTATTTCTCAACTTCTAAAACTGCACTATTTTAAACCCAGAGTTTTTAACAGCAGCATGGTTAAGCAAGTTAACACTCAGCAATTTGCAGTGAGTGCATATGGGAGAGTGGGGCTAAATGTAACACCGGTCAATTGTAGGCTAACTTGGGGTACAATGCCGCTCTACCTCAAAATATTTTTTGGGGAGTGACTTAAAAAAAAATATGAGACATAATATTCTTTGTTGAGCAAGAGTAGTGGCAACCAGGTAAAGTGATGGGGGGGAAGAGGAATGGTGATATGAAGTGGTTTCTGTGAGAAGTACAGGCAGGGAGCGTATTACCCCGCATGGCGAGTTGCCCCAAGTTACCCTAACGGGTAGGCCTACATTAAATTCACTGTGTTTATGCAAGTTTTTTGGGACATAGAATTCATCAATAGGATAATAACTAGTTAAAATATCACATTTGGGATCTGGCTAATGATTAGCCCAATAGGGTAAATGCAGATAGGCAACCCCATGCTTCAGCCTATTTATTTGCACTTTGCTGCATCAGTTGGGCTACGGGTGATAATTGTTTATTGCTAATACCTGATTATATGGACCATGCATAGGCTAGAAACATGGCCCAATATGTTAAAATAATTTATCTAATAATTTTACCAATGTGTTAATGGACTCATTTCTGGAGGTGTAAATTATATTTTAGATGGTGTCAGCATACTTTTATTTTCATTCATTTTGGAGTAGAATGTCCTTTTAAAAAGTCACCAGAACTGAGCTTCTCAGTCCTTCTACATAAGAATTCTAGGAGGGACCCAAGCTGTCTATCTCCCTGCTGCGCCACACAGAGCTTATCCCAGCTGACAAGGCCTTCTACGAGGCGGGCATGGCTGCCAGGGTAAGAGAACTGCTCGTATGAGCCTCAGCCAATCGCGCTGGGGGGCTTGAGCCCCCTGGGAACTATTCTGATCAAAGTCCCCTGAGTCTGTGCTCCTGGTAGGCCCGCTGGAGGTGTTATGAATAATGTTGTGCCCAAACAGCAGTATGGAGTAGCATATCGCATCGTCCATGTTCAGAATGAAATAATTTTGGAAAATGTCAAACTCTCCCGACTCGCTGAAGAACTATTTGTCTTTCAAAAAAAAAAAAAAATGTTACTCCAGTATTCGGATTTAGTTGTGAATGTCAGGTTGATGATGGTGAATGTGATTCTCTCTACAGGCTGTGGGCTGGGAGAACATGGCCTTTATTTTCCACAACCGCTTCCTGGTTCTGTCTGATGTGAGTCCCCACTCAGCTTTACCTGGGGGTTTCAACTCAACTTGACCTAAATCTGCAGACTTTTTCACTCAGCATAAAAACTTCACATGTAGCATATATGATCGATAGCAATGTATATTTCATCATATGAACAGTGATGAGTAACTATCCTGAATGAAAAATGTTCTGTATCCATTGTGTTTGAATTAGATTGTTTGAAGAAGAGATAGTGAGTGAATGTTGTCTTGATGCCTGTTGTTGTTTGTGTGTTGTGGTGTTTCCAGGAAGATAGATTAAGGAAATCTGGACACTCAGGACTACTCTGATTTCCAGGACACGTACATCCCCTTCGAGGTTCCTGTCCCTGCTAAGCTACACGTCACTGTAAGGCACAAGTCGATTTTTTGCTGTGCTATTATCATATCGTTTGCTTTGCTGTGTCGTTATGATGTCTTATAACATGACAGGTCTGAAATGTTGCTGTGTTATGACTGTCCTGTGACAGTGTTACCTTGATAGCTCATTACGTTGTGATTTTGTTTGCTTAGCTACAGTATGTTACTATTTAATGATGTGTGTAATGTTGCTGTAGTGTGACTGTCCTGTGATAGTCTTATGTTATGATGGCACTAAGCTGTGATGGTGTTATGGTATGAGGCTGTTGTTGATGCTGTTGATGTTGTTGTCGTGTCCCAGGATGCCCAGAGTGAGGAGATCCGTGACTGGGTGTTGACGGTGTCCATGGACCAGCGGGTGGAGCAGGCAGGCGCTGCCCAAAGACGAGAGGGACACCTACAAAGCCTCTCTACTGGCAGCCAACACCGGCATCCGCTCCCTGCCTTGCGTCATCGCAGGTGGGTGGGAGAACCCCCCTACAGAGCACCTTACCCTCTCCCATCTATGGAATTACCCCAGTGTCTAGGACTGTACCATCTACTCCAGGGGTGTGAAAAGTATGAGGGGGCTATTATTGGAGAGTATTTTATAATTGCCTGTTATTATTGTAATTTGCATGGATTCACAAAATTACATATGAACCCCAACATATTTTGTTATTCAACCTAACTAGTTGATGTCAGGTGAGAGTGTGTTTACTGTGCTGGTAGGCAGAGCAGAGTTGCTGTCCAGGGTGCTGACTCCTGCTTGCTCAGAGGCCTGCACCAGTCATAACATAACTGACAAATCACAGATGCATATAACCTCTGGTATACAGTACGTAGAGATGCGGTGCTATCCAGAGATACAGGGACTGACTGGTCTCCCACAACACCCAGAGGACTGTGTTGTGTTCAGGGAGGCAGTTAGCAGACCCACGTACGATGTTAATTGGTTGACTAATCATACGAATGTAATGAAAGCTCTCTCTCTCTGTCTCTCTCTCTGTCTCTCTCTCTCTCTCTCTCTATGCAAACCCAGGCTATCCGGTCCTGCGGAATAAGATTGAGTTCAAAGGACCTGGCAAGGCAGCAAACAAGGACGACTGGAATAAATTCGTAATGGCCACAAAGGTAAGAAGGGGGTTTGTTATGTTAGCCCTGGAGACTACATCACTGTGCTTGTTACCTCCTCTGCTGATTTAGCTGCTAGTCCATCAGCCTCACCCGCATGAAACACTGGGTTTGATTTATATTTAATCCACACTTTAGATCACAGGCACTCACGCAGGTTTAGAATGTACAACGTGTAAAGTTGAATCTTAGAGAAGGGCCCATTTCATTTCAGTGTGTTTCATCATCATCATGTGTGTGATTTGGATTACAGAGGTGTGAATAGTAAATGGACTGATGTCCACAAACAGAGATTTAAAGACTGGCCTTTTACACGTATGCACGTTTGCACACACACACAGTCGTCCCTGTGGTTCCCTGTATGTAATCTGATATGTGATTGGCTGGTCTGTGTGTGTGTCCTCTTCTCAGACCACTCACAGCCCGGAGTGCCAGGATGTGCTGAAGTTTGTGAGTCAGTGGTGTGGAGGGCTCCCCACCTCTGGCTTCTCCTTCCACTGACAGGACCAGGTTGCTGAAAACTCCATCTCCGTCCAGTGTACCACACACCAGCGTACCCATAACTACAGTAATTTACCATACCGTGCTTTGCTTAGAGCCTCTGCATACTTCTCTGAATTATTTCATCCATCCTCCTCTCCACCTGGCGCACTCCTCTCCATCTCTGGTTTGGTTTTAGCGTTGAACAGTTCACATCATTCCATAACAATAGACTGTTGAGAAGACCTGCTGTGTTACTGCTCCATACATTTCTACAGTGCTGACATCAGCACAGTCCTTACTGGCCTCCCATTGGCCACTTAGTCCCTGATGTCAGGATTCTGTGTCACCATGGGGATGTCTGTAAAGTTCAGCAGAACATTCCTCCTCTCTTCTCCTCTGTGCGTCTGTCCTGTTTTACCTCTGTTTGAGTGTGTGTTCATGACCATTTTCTCCTATGTTCCTGGTACTGTAGAAGGAATGGAGTAGGCTACAACCAAAGTGTGTGTTTTTATTTAGTTGAGGGACTTCAAAGATGCCTTTACACTTCAGGTGATGTATCTTCATAATCAGAAGTGCTGTTATCTGTAATAAGTATGCTGTGTTCTAAAAGCAAAGTTCCAGAATGATAGGAGAATTTGACATAATGCACTTTAGAATACTGTTTTGGCTTCATGTATTGTTGAATTCTATGCAGTTTTGAATGTATTTCATATGTTGGAAATATAGTTAAATAAGAAATATTCTGCACCAATTTCTTCTAATACTCAGGTCTTGGTTATTAGACCTTTAATAGAAGTAAATAAATATAAGTCCACCTAGAAAATTGTTGTACTATTAGGCCCCATTGTTTTTACTAATTTAGTTGTGTGTTCAACCAAAATGACATTTTGTGGATGAACAAAAAAGGTACAACACACAGCTCAGTGCATGTATTATCTTATAGCTATTAGTAGATTACCTGCTATTAAACTGGGTTGTAGGTATATTCACATTTCATGAATCATTGCACCCTTACCCACTCAGGTGGAGTGTTTCCCAGACAAAGAATAGCCCTTATGGACAAAGGTTTCAGCCACCAAAACGCCCATTCATGGCCATCATCAGAAAGGCTCACCCAAATACATATCGATTCTGATTTTTCCCCACAATAATTAAAGGTAGAATAACTAGCTGTCTCTTGTAGAGCAAATATGGAACATCATAGATTATAGAACTATATTTTCATGTAATTTTTTATTTTAAGAGGGGGTGCGCAGAAATGATGAGGTCAGCACAGGTATCAGGTATCTCCTCAGCAAGGTATCACCAAGATATCATCTTTGTCAAAATCTTTCAGGGAACCCACCCTATTTTGTCTCCATACTTGACCATGTTTTTTTCCTCAACGTCTTCCATATAAATGTTGGTTATTTATTTAGGCCACCTATAGGCTACACTATTCTATCATCCATACAAATTCTACAGAAAACCGTGAGTGTGCTATAATTTTTTTCTCCAAAATTATCTGATTTATAATGAGATTATACAACAACAACAAAAACACCCGTGCCTAAAGGTTTGGCCTTTTAAAATGCAGAACCCTATTGCACAGTAGACTTTTACGCACCATAAAACTTGTAGTCATATATGGATGCGTTTTTCTGCCTGTGCTTCTTCAGTTATACTTCCAAAGATGGAAAGAATAGGAATTTCACCATCAGTAGGCCTACTCGCTCAACGTTATCTATTGGCGGCTTGAGGCCTAAAAGTTCTGAAAAGCGTTTTAAGAAACCGAGGCATGTTCAACTATTCCTTATAGGCTTAATTTTCCGTTTGTCCGAATGTTTTAATTGAAAGCAACACAGCGTATTACGTCATATCTAAATGTTTTAAGTAGGCCTAATTAGAAATCAGTGCATTTAAATAACGTTTTTGACCAAAATATTGAAATTGCATAATGTAATGCACACAGGCATGTCAGGCCTCTTTTCGGTTGTGTCCATCAGCCTACCTGTACTATACTGTCAAACTGACATAGGGAATTGTGACATCATTTGATACAACAGAACAGCATTCTCTCGATAAGAATGTAAAATCAGAAATCATGTGTTATAATAACCATTAATTTCCATTGCAAAGAAACAGAGTAACTAGTCTATGCAAACCAATTTAAGATGCAAGTGTCAGAATGGACACCCCAACAGTCTTCATGCTATGTCTCAAAATTATTGTAACACTGCCTTCATTTGTCTGGAACGCCTTTTAATTTTGAAAGTTAAGTCAGTATAAATATGTTTAATTTGTATAGCCTGCATAAATAATCATTTTTAAACCAAACGTGCTCATTACTTTGAAATACTTAGGAGTTACTATCTCAAACTACAATAAGCACAACTTTTTACCTTTTAGGTATTGTTGTAATCACTCTGTGGGTCTATTTATAAATGCAAAGGCCCTAGAGGTAAAACATAAACTAAACTAAGTAGTCAATTATTTATTTTTAAACAACGTTTTCGCGCTATTCGAGTCGTTTTCAGAGGGCCTGATATCGCCCATAATCAGGCTGACATTCACACCATATGAAAAAATATTGTGAGGAACAGTGGCACATTTACACATTTAAGTTATACTCTTTCGTTCGATTTGGCTGCAAAAATATATGTCTTCAACAAAGCATTTCTTAATTAAGAACCTGTCGAACCGAAAACGTCTGATTTACTATGTCAAGCTTTGTCATTATTTCTGTTTGTGATAATGCACTTTACCGCCAGAAACATTTCAGGAATGTTATCTGAAATATAGAAAATCATCATGAAAGTTTTACATGCATTCTGCATTGCAGTTTGACAAACCATGTTATTAATTTCACATTTGTGGATTGTCTGAACATAGCGCACCAAAAAAACAAAACCGATGCATAATTTGTGGTTTAAAAAAAAGAAAATCTTAACATTATTTTGTGCATTGTGAGATTTTATTGCCAAGAAATTGGTTACAACAATAATCATAATTGCAGAATATTACAAAATGTGCATGCGAAACGTAATCCACATAATCCACAACCCTTTTGTAAATCCCTGTTGATATGAGAGAATTTAATCACTGCGTTTTGCATGGCTGAAAAGATCAATCGTATCACATCACATTCCTTTTACCCTGACCTGAAACATGTAGGCCTATAACGACACTGTATTCCTTGAGTAATTTGACATGCACTGCTAGGCCGGACTACTATTCCAGCCACACGAATTATGTCACTGATGTCCTGATTTGTACTGCGAATTTTATTTTACGCATCTCTAGTTGACCATACATCACTGTGTAACAAAAAGCGTTGTGCGCATTAATGTGTTTGCCTATCTTTCGTTCCATTATAGTAAGCTATGCAATACATTTCACAAGCCTTCACTTAATATTGTCATACAACAAACACGTTGATTTAATACAGTCTATTACTTTCCGTTTTGTCACCATCCAGAGTCCCTTCTTCTGTGTATAGGTTCTAGGTGTCCCAGTTAGGAATCCAGAAAGATCTAAATTCACATACTCCGCCACCCTTATGCGCAAGACGCAGCGTGTGCACTTCTATAGATGAGATTTCACCTCGACCTTACAGCAGTTAACCGTGCAGGCTATAGCAGAGAATGCAATGGCGCGCTCCAGTCGCTTCCTGACAGAATGGCTAGCACAAGGCACGGGACAGAACCTCCAAAGAAAGACCTTTCACCTTTGGAAGTAGAGGCTTGTCTGACGACCTATTACTGCGTAATGTAACGACACACATGAACACACTCATCGTACATGTAGATGATATTTACCCTCTCTCTTGGCATTCACCGCGTGCCTTAATTGTATGGACATTTAAATCAAGGTCCGCTGTGAACACGAGGAGAGACAGGGCCGCTTTAGTCTTGCTCTGTATCACTGTAACAGCTACTGTAATGGCAACTGCCTGACGAGCTGCAGTGCGCGTAAGGAGGTCAACCTCATTGAAAGCAACGGACTTGCACCAAAATGTACGACTACGTATTCCACCCGCTGGCTAGGCACCGTTATCCAATACAGTAGCGCATTGTCATTTACCATGGCATTATTGTCACCCGTTGCGGGATGCGGGAAAGATGCAGGTCGACATGACAAATAGACTAATAAGACTAAACTCCACTGAAAATCTAAAAAGGCACACAAAAAGGCTAACCGTTATGTTATTAGGCCTACAGTACCTATATCCTGGCAGTGGCAATCTCCCGAGCGCATGAGATGTAGTCTATATTATTATTTCCTTGGATGTAGATATAGCCGGATCCTTGTTGGTGCAACGAACGCCAGGCCGGAGTGACAGCAGCGAAAATACAGGGCTTGCTGCAGTCGGTCCTTTTGCTCAACTCCCATGATACCAAAAAAATAGAAGATAGCCCATCTGGCTTCTCATCAGCTTTGTCAAATCTTGCATACGCTAAAATGCTAATGACCTAGATAGCTCATGCAAAATGCAGCAGAGGTAAGAAAGAGGGGAAAAAAGCTGTTGGGCTGAACAGTCATCCCCGCCTTTTGTGGGGGTCGGGCAGTGTGTGTTAGGAGGTGGAGGCACTGAACGCACCTGCATCATACAGGGGTTAGCTCAGTATTGGATAAATAGAGTGGGAGATGCAATTAGGCAAAGCTGTGACACACACATATTGATTTTGGGGATAAACAGAAGCCATATTGACAGAATCAAGAATATAAACGGATAATAGGCCTTGTAATATAACGTATTGAGAAGGTGCCAAAAGTAAATAATATATATAGATAGGCTAACAATCCCATATTTAGTAATAGCACTTTATTTACTATTAACTAAAAACATGCATATCTACATAAGGTCTATGCGTATTTAAATGAGTTCCCCCCCACCTTTATAAAACAGAATATTGTGTCAAAATGCTGAGGCAAAAATATTTATACTTAACTTTGCAACATGTTATTCAGCGGAACAACTTACAGAAATGCGTTGTTGCGATACCTTTACAATCAACTCTCATTTTCCCCGAAACAAC